GAAATAGAAACTCAAAGAATTTTTCTAGTGAGCCTAATCATAGACATTTGTACACATTTAATCCTTGTTGTATGCCTTTTTAAAATAGTCGTAAGATAGAAAAAGCCTTCAACTTATCAAGTTGGATCCACAGGCAGATAGCGATGAATTGTTCGAGGTCTTTGAATACACTTGCAAATCGATTCACGCAAAGGTCGGATTTAAAATGACAAACCGTAACCTTCAATATTAAGCTAATAATGATGCAAAATATATATTGTATAATTAGCTGTACCAAAACTTACCTAATGGCCGTATCCTTTTAACGCTTACAACACGTAAATGGTCTGATTAAATTCTTCATATCACTTATTTAGCTAAGATGACATTTTATCAGTAGATGTCATAATTCAGATCTTGAACAGTACAAGTAATCTTTATAAATTATCATAATAATCTATGTTGTTGTTTAATAAATTAGTATCAAATAATGATTGGGAATGAAGTACACTTCAGTATATGATACTTCATGGTTAAAGATAATTTGTACCCTACTTTCATTTAGATTTCATGTTTGTTGGCAAAAAGTAATCTATGGGCTTGATGTAAAAGTAAGTATCGTCAAAAATTTGAACTTTAGCCGATTGGATCAAATAAGAGTCAACATTGACAAATTTTTCAAACTGCAAATCTTACCGTAGAAAATAATTTATTAAATGATTATTCTCTATAGTAATATACCAACGATTGGTGAAGAGGTAATCATCAACAGACAGTAAGATATGAATGTTTTCATTTACTCTGTGTTCAAGACAAACATTTCATAATATATCTGTGATCATGAGTTCATTCATCATTTGTGATATGATTTATGTAACATCGTCGTATCTCCAACACCGAAAGATTGTCATTACTTCAGTCTGTGTTATCGACAGAAAAAATCCATAATTCTAAATGTCTAGCTTATTTCATTTCACGTTTTTACCACTTTGGCAAAGTGATACTATAAATAATCAGATGTATCGATAATTCTGTAGATTCATTTTATTGACTGTCATTCTAGTTGATTTTGTCATGACTTGATTCACACATTGATAGTTATGAACACATTCAGGACTGGATGCATGAATAGTTGCCTACTTGTAATATTTTATGTGAAACCATTAATGCTGACTATTTGATTCACGTGATTGAATGCTATTGTCATCTGTTCCATACATGTCATCAGCAAATGTGTATTAATTGATTGATTGAGTGTGTATTAACTGAATTTCACTACTTGTAGAGAATATGATTGTTTTGAATGATTGAGGTTATGGTTATCATGAAGTAGTAAATGCTTAATTAGAATATTGCTGACTAGTTGATGAGTAAGTTTAAATCGATTTTTTTCTATTAGCAGTTGACTTGATTAATCCGTGTATTATTGTTTGAAGGAAAATCGAAATTTGGTCAACTTTACTTCATTTGATCGATTTTGCATTTATAAATTTTCATGGACTGATTTTTTAATTATGTCTATATCAAGAATACCTTTTACGTTTACTGATAATGAGATTCTAATCTTTGCTCTTCAGTGTTAAATTAATGAACAATAGTCCAACATATAAATCTTGTGTTGTTCTCATTGAGGATGAGAATAACTTTACCGAAACATTCTCAAGTATACAAGAGATCAAGATCGCAGGATGCTTCATCTTCCCAAATAATTTATAACTGACTAGAATTCAGAAAACATTTTCTCTAGTTGTTCAAATGAGCTAACATATAATCATAGTAATATTAGCAATAAAATTTTACCTTAACACTGTCATTTACAAAAGTATCAATTACGTCACAAATGCTCTTCTACATTTACTGTGAACATTTAAATTCTTAGTACATGTAACTAAACGATACCAAATTAATCCTTTACAAGTATCATTTATTCGACTTTATACAATAATATGAATCATCAGTAGTAAATGAAAGTGAAAATTAATATATCCAATAGATTAAATATTTTAAAATAGCATTGAATCACTTTCGTTTATTCAATACAGATTGTTTTACCAAACACTTCCATATGACGTAGACAAATCGTTTCGTGTTTTTCTCGAGACATAACGCCACTGAATTCGAATGTAGGTAATCCTGTTGGTGCACACTGATAACGGCTCTCTAATTAAAATAGAATAACTATCTATTGTACTCTGAATTTTAAGAATTATTCGTCTGATAAAAGTTTTCAAATATCATCCATAAAATCAATATCTTACTGTATTTGGTGTTATTCACAAAATTATCCAACTCTTCTATTCATGTTTCTTAATTATTTTAGTTATCCTTATTGTTACCATTATCAATTTTCATCTATTGTTGACCGATTAATAAATAACAAACACCTTATTTTGAACGCTTGTGAAATCCTCTATTATCTCGACATAGTTGTTACTGGGTCACAATCAAAAACCATAAATGAATACCTTCTTACAACTTCCTTTTTTAATTTTAGTATTACATTGATTTTAAAAGGGAAAAGTAATTAATTTTAAGTCGTCTTGATCAAACTTAATGGTAATGGACAAAAAGAATAAACGATTGTCATCAATCTACCTGATGAATTTGGTCAGTAAATTGTTGTGAAATGACAGTTTGCTATTTGAAACTCCATTTGACATAAAGTACATTGACTTAAATGCTCGAAAAAATCTGAAATTTCTGTTCATCAACTGTATCACTGCAGCTTCGCTTACTTTCAGTTTCGATTTAAACTGTCACAGGATTTGAAGAATTCCATCGATCAATTTATCTTAATGTTTAATTAAATGAAGTTATTCAACCAACGCACATTTCTGTTGCTTTTTACTTATTCGCTTAAAATGTGTGTAAAGTGCTAACTTTTATCAATTTATCAATCATTTCCACTTGCAAGTCATTTAATGTCTTTTGATAATCCTATGGTTAAAAGAAGCACAAAGTGCTGAGAAGAGATTTTTATTCTTCATTATATTCAGTTAATTCTGTATCCTAGCGTCAGTTTAGTTTTTACCTTCATATATTGACGATAATTACATATATCTGTGATCGATAATCTTTGAACTGTTATTCCGTTTTGAAAATTATCATGTGCTTGTGTAGTACCTACTAATAGTATGTATTAGATCAAATGATTGTCTGATTTTGTACTCTTTAACACAAAATCATTTTATGTACAATGAATATATAGGAGTATTAAATGACTTATATACCAAAGTGTTTCGTCTAAAAATAAGGAGAAACGATAGTATTAGAATATTCAACTTGAATTTTTAATAAAACGAAGTAGTACGGTTGTATAAATTCCTGTTAAGATGAACAAACATTATAGTCAAAATAGACTAAATTAACAAATCATTTTCATATCATACAACCATACCAAATATGTGCTAATATATGTAGAGTACTATTGATAACATCAATAATATAAAGTTGTGTTTTCTCAAATGTAGAAATGAAGGTTGATCAATTGGGTAGCAATTCATTTTCTCTGAATCTTATAGACAAACAAGGTTAAATTCACTTGAAGTCAATGAAATAATGACTGCGAACAAAATATCTAATCTAACAGTTCAACACAAAACTCCAAGTTAAAAACTTTTGAAGTGGTTTACTTTGATAAACTAGTTGATAAAAGTCAACTAATTTTCATGAAATTATAGATAATGGAATCGAAAATTTAGCTCTGAGTTTATATTTCTTTCTTCTTTTTTATAGATACTATGAGGAGCTAGCCAATACAAATTAGAAAGATCACAACACCTGAATAATCCGTGCTTCATAATCATAATCAAATACATAATTCCTGAGATAAGTAAAACGTGCTTAGCCACTTTATAGACTAAGCTGTTAGAAGAAAAATAGTCATCAACCTATTTCTTCTCTACTTTAAAATTGAGTGTTAGTGATTTCATTGGTCACTCAAACTTTAAACTCTTAGTCGCTTGAAACAATAACATATTAACAGATTCCGGGGATACTGTTATGATTTAAATCCTGAATGTATTCATCATAACCCTTGTTTTGAGACATGATCTTTGTGTTGGATTCATTGTATACGATATTTGCATCACTCAACACTGAAGTGTTATCTATAATTGGCAAAGTATGAAGGCCTTATGCTGTTATCCAGCTCATTTGATAATCTTTTTCCGGAATCCTGTTATTATCAAAATATATAGCCTAATTGGGTACATTTAGAAGCAAAGTATTGGCGACATTTTTTAAGGAAAGAAATCCTGGTTTCGATTCAAGTCATCACATTCATACTGACCTACATTCTCCAGGTTATCAGCAGTTATTGCTAGTGGCAGAACTACGGTTAGTGAAAGATACAATTGTTTAGAACCATTATTGTACTCCTTGAGGTTGCGTTTTTTGAACTTCTTAGAGTAATATTCACGGTTACCGCAGAATATTCTCATTATTTAACTGCTGTCTTTGTGGATTGATTTCTAAAATTAGTACAACAGTAGTATGTGATGAGGGACTATCAGGAAACATTTCAGCTAACACAATACACTTATGAAAAATATTTTTTGGAAATCTAGCTGTTTCTCCCCAACCGACTAGTGATCCTACTTGCCTGTTTTAAATAGTTTGTTGAACTGATAACCAGAAATTGAATGGTTTAAACCCAGTCATTTGTTCAACTCAACGTTGTACTATGTTACAGTTCATTTAGCGAAGGATACTGCTGACAGTGCTGTTGCAAGCCTACATAACCTTTAAGCGTTCGAATTATTTTATTCTGGTTAGCGTGTTTTTAAACCCGTTAGTTTTCTACGGGATTGGTTCGCTAACCCTATGCACAACCCTCCTTCTTTGTCCGGGCTTGGGACCGGCAGTAACCGCAGAGGGGCCTCAGGTGGAGTTCTAAATAACCTTTACAGCTAGATAAATAGTCTTTACTATGTTTAAATGAAAAATCCACAACAAGGTTCTCACCCGACAAAATACAACACCTTCAAACTAATTTGACAAACTACCAAGCATACTAAAATCAAACATCATTATTTATTTACTTATTTTGAATATTGGCATTACGTACACAGAACACATTCTAAAAGGCATATTTATATGTATATGTTACATTTTTGTACAAAGAGAGAATTGACTTCATGCTTTGAAGTAAAATAACAATGTAATGAGCAAAGTAGTTCAATAGTGAAAAATATTATCTCTACAGAATACTATTATATACTGTCATACATATACGGTTTTAGAAATCGTGTATACAAAGTTAAGTATGATTTATCGTCAATATAAATACAAAAAATAAACGTAAGTGAAGAAAAAGTAGTAGAAATGAATAGAAAATTTAGAAAAATTAACGATTATGTAATTAACAGAAAAGAAACAATAATAGCAATAATATTATTATTAACAAAGATTTTGTTGGTGATGATATCGATTAATTTAATACCTTTTGAGAATTATTTTCAGGGTTAGATTTTTGATTAATTTTACGTTTAATTAACAGGGGATTTTTGGAGGCATCTAAAGTCATCAAAGTAGGAACATTGGAGTGTTCTTTACGCTTTGTCTGAAGACTTTCACGAAATATCTCCTTTTTCAAGAAACAAAAAGGAAAAAAATGGTGTAAATTAATAAAACACTATTTGTGTGGTTATTAACTAGAAACAATTGTAAATAAATGACGTGTTTTAAATTCATTGTGGTTTTTAAAAGCATTGTAAATTACTGAACACTATTACAAACATAATATGCGTCTTGTTCTATCTGTTTATAAACAACGAACACTTCCACTTCTCGTCTTCAATCTGCTTCAAAATAAAGCACTCAATGTTAGGTGGTTATAGGCTTATCCAATAGTTTTGGTGGATCCATGTTCTCTGGGCTCGAAGACTTATCTGATAGTTTTTTATAACTACATGCTGACGAATGTACTGGATATGAACATCAGTTCACTCAATTATTCATGTTAGTAAAAATTATGGCGCTTCAATCAATTATATTTATACACGTGTGCCGTAGAATTGATATCTACTGCAGCTATTAAACATAAGGTTGATTCTTAAGTTTTTAAAAATTCCGACTGATAAATAATAATAAGAAACATATTCATCATAAGTCATTATAATGCTTCGGTATACAAGGTTTGAGCTCTTTTTAAAACTATGCTTATGAGTGACTAAGTGCTTTTTCTAAATCTGCTATTATTTAATGTTTTATTACCTAGAAGATTTAAAAAATGCTTCGAACAGGGTCTCACATATCAAACGGATAATTGAACTTTTCGTTAAGTTACTTAGATAAATAATTTTTGTAGTTTAGCTTTTTTCATTTACTGCGTATGCTGAAAACTGACAAAACAAATCTAATAGAGCCTGGGTAGATTCATTATGCACCATAAGTGGTTGATTTAAAACAACATATAAGACCTACCCGAAATTGATCCCATGCTTTTGTGGTGAAAAACATATTGGTTCCAAGAGGTGTGTTAGGCACATTATTATGCTGAGCCACCCAATGGTTGTTCATCACTTCTCTGATTGTAGGTCTACGATCTGGCTCTGTGAGTAATAGGCTTTTGATTAGATCTTTAGCTATTAATCAATAAAAGCGTGCAAATATGTCGAAGATAAAAAGAAAACCATAAACATCAAGTAGAATTGACTGATAGTAACAGAATAGTCAATAAAATTTTTCAACTAAAAAACACATACATCTTCGGTATTTATTAACTTTGCTTAGTCTAGTTGTCAATTTTGAGTGGTTAAAAATGTTTTTTTTCCAAAAAGGGATTCAGAGTTGAAATTACGAAGCTAAAATAGTTTTGAAATATTGGCAAACTGGATAGTTCGTCATTTGTTGTAGATAACACAAAGTAAGTATGATGTTCTTTATCAGCCATTTTAATACTTAAACGGTGATCACATATTTTTTAAGACTTCATACAGATAGTTCTTACAAACTTTTGAAAGCCGGTACATTAAAAGGATAACTGGCTGCAGACATGTTTAACCTGATTACGTTCCAGTTTATCAGTGTTAACTTAGGATAGGAAAGAAATAAGACTGAAAACATACTCTCGAGTTCAAACTTCATTTGTTTTGAATTTAAGGTATCTCAAAAACGTAGGTCTAGTAACTTCTTACTCCAATGTTTTATGCACTCCTGTTTTAAAAACTGAATTAACTGAAAATCGTGTTTGCCTAGATATTAAGATGACTAATATCACAATTTAGGTATTTCAAATTATGTTGATGGTTTCAATTTCATCACACTTATGTTTGATCCAAATGTGGATAGGAATCAAATTTAGGATTTACACCTCGTTCTATTCATAACTGATCTGCTCTTTCCTAAATATCGATAACGGAAAAGAATATATTCTCAGAAATAATTGAACGAAACTTAAAGCCCAAGTCAAACTTAGGTGCATCGCTTTTTATTTAGCCTGAGTTCGCAACAATAGGCAGGTCATATAGTTGATAATTAAACACATACCAATCAAATGGTTGTCAGGCAATTAAAAGTATTCGTAAACTCGACGTTACCTACGAAGACAAATGAGTTGATAGGAATGTAGTTTAGAAACCCAAATGTATTGAAATTTATAAGGTTTGAGATTTTACTGGCCGAAACATAATTTTAGATCTTATAACAAGTAATCTGAAGTCTAAAGATCCCCACAAAATATTTCAGTAACGTGACTAGTTATATAGAACTACAGAACGTTGGAAGTAGAAGCGTCAAATAGTAACTAATAGCACTTAGTTGCTCGTTCTATAAGTGGAAAGCTATGGATAACTACCTAAGGAAGGCATGTAGTACATTTCGATAGCTTTGACCGAATACACAAATATGAGATACTTGGATTTATATAAGCTACTAATACAGTATAGAAAGCAAGTATGGGTAGAATGTAAGATGTTCCATCGAAGAAAAAATACATAATCCGAGGTGTGAAAAGGCTAAAGTCGGAAACAGGTTACTTTGTGATGTTATTAACGAATAATCTAAAAGTAAATGCATCAGTAAGCGTAAAATTTGTGAGTACAAATTCTGTACCGTTCAAATAAATGCCCTACTTACCACTTTTTGAAACAGATTTCCATTGTGCATCAGGGAAGTCATACTTTCCAGCCCGAATCTTTGACTTCATACCAGGAGATATGGGTTGGCCATTCTGACTAAAAAACGGGGGACAACCTGAGAGCCTAAACAATATTATGAAATGTAAATTGCTTACAAAATATAGGTTATTATCCCTAAGGACCAGATATCACATGACTTGTCATATCGTTCGAAATTAAGGATCTCTGGTGCTAGATATAAATATGATCATAAAAAGCATAGTGAACCTACGGACATAGTAAGGTGTGTAACATGGTGTTTGAAGAGACTTTTTAGTGATGACTTCTTTCGCAAATCCAAAGTCCGTAAGTTTGAGGACGGCACCATCCTCATTGGACGTGTAAAGCAAATTTTCCGGCTAAAAAGAGCTCATTGGAAAATCAAATATTACTTTAAGATCACGGTGCGCTATATTTCTTTCATGAAGATAAGCAATTGCAGAGGATATTTGATACACTATTTTTGCAGCTTCTACAAAAATAGACTTCCAAATTTACGAGTTACCGCTTTCTGTGAAATTTTCATTTTCCTTAATTTTATTAAATAGTTCACCACCCCTCATATATTCCATTACTATTAAGAGGTAGTTCTTCTTAGTGTTCAGGTTTGTGTTTTCAAAGACGTCCACAACCTTCACTATATGAGGACAGTCTGAGACTCTCCAATGAATTTCAGCCTCTCTTCTTGACTTTTGATTGTCCTCAAGTATCTATAGTATGAGCCAGCATACCAAATTATAGTACCTTTAAAGCATACTGAACTCCTGTCTCATTATGAATACACTGCATCACCTTTCCTGTGATCCCCAAGCCCAGCACATTGTTTGTGATCGTATATTCTGAAGTTATAGTAGATGTTTTAGGAACAAATGGTCTAGAACATGACATCCTCGTTAATAGCAATAATCAATCACTCAACCCAAAATCGCGGACATCAAGTTGCCTTCATCTACAGTACAGTCAAAACAATTATACAAAAAAAACTTGGAATTATTCAAAAATCATGAAAATAGCTCTCTGACTTTGATAACGAAGCATTATGTAATATAGACTCTCTATTCCTTCGAGTATAGACAGAGACATTGAATTTGCAACCTTCATTTCACATGATACTATTCCTGTATTTCAGTAGCCCTTGTTTATGCCTGTTTTTCCTTTAAAGAGGTCAATTGAAGGCTCAGACATCAGTTCTTTCAATCGTTAGATCCAATCTCTGATAGCTCATCTAGAATTTGTTCGATATGTGAGACCAAAAACTGCTGTCTACTTCGTACTATGATGATAAACTCGGAGAAGAAGCAAGGAGATCATTATTTGAAGTCTCAAGCAACACAATGAAGCTTTTTCTACCTACTTCTAGTTGATATATCAAGACTGTTTTCTATTAAGTGAATCAGGTTTTTACGAAGTTCTTCAAATACCAGTTCCGCGAGTCATTTTCAAAGGTTTCGAAACATTTCCAAAGCAAACGCTTGGAGCATACATAGGATTTTACTATTTTGACAGTAAGAAAATTTTGTTTAAAATATTCGTATCATGCGTTCCTACGACTTTCAAGCACAGACGAAAATCAGTGAGCCGTCATCTAACCACGACTTCATTTGACTTCTAAATAATTATGAGTCAGAACCAATTTCGTTTATTTGACGATGTTTAAGGAGATTCCTAAGTTGTCTAGCTGTAACGGTAACAGATTTCGAAAAATATTGTCAAAGGCCTTATTGAACTCTACATAGATTAGAGTTACTGTAGCTGTAAGCAAATCCCCAAAACCAATAGCTCTGTAAGTGTTCGACATCGGATGCTGACCACCTTAGTTTTAACGGACTTATCTATTTGAAGGCTCTTGGTCATGCATCTGCACCAGATCACGATGCAGAATGGCGTGCGTAACGTCTCCTGCGGTCACCAGACAGATTAGATCAGTCACTATTCGATATATTTATAATCTATCAAATATATATTTCAACCTCCTCGCTTCGGACTTTGATTTCACTGGGTGGGCGCGATTCAGTTACGGAAGGTGTTATTGGTAAGATATTGTCGAATAAAAATACCTGTGGTGTCTTCATTACTGACTTGATGTGAGGATTGGGTTCTAAGTTGAATAAGCTGATGCATGAAGAGCTAAGCAAGGGAAAGTTTTCGAAAGAAGCCAGACAGTTACTTAAGCCACATTGGATCTGTGCCCGTTAAATGAAGTCGGAAATCGAATCTAAATGAAATACCTTAATCACGTTGAGGCCAATAAGATTCATGAGTGGCTGATGAGTGGTCATCATTCAGGACAACTTTGTAAGTTCTGATACATGACAGGCACTGTAGATCTTTCATTGGTTCAAGAATGTAATTATGGCCGTCATAGTCTTATCAGTATGCTCATATTACTTTACCTTAATAACGATTTTGATGTCGTTATTGCTCCTTGTCAGTTGAGTGGCATACTTCCTGGATATTTAATTCTATTTACCGGAAAATCTTATTCTCCATCCTCATCCTTTTACGTTGGTTTGTCGATATTTCATGTTATATGCTTGTAATGATAGATGTTGGAAATATGCAAGAAATATGTTTCTCCTATTCAGAAAATTATTCTCATCTATCATTTTGCATTAATTAATCAAAATCCGTTATTTCTAAATTTAGAAGTTATAAAAGGTCTCCAAAGCACCCACTTTGATAAATAGGAATTAGCTTATTAACTGTATGATGTAACTCATGCTGCTTACCAAGTATCTTTTACTAACCGGTTGTCGAACAAATGACAAGCATATGAATGATGCTAGAATCAGTAAGGCGCTTAAGAACATGTGCTTTAGACTCCAGAGAATTAAATATGTACGGTCAAGTAACATCATTACAAACTTGCAGAATGCTATAGTTCTCGTCTAAAAGACAGGCAATATTGTTTAAAAAAATTTGAATTCGGTAAGTTCACTTAGCAAACATTTGCGTTATTTCCGTATCCAGACCACTGAAAAAACGGTGATTCGATATGCCGTTTTAGTCTGTTCCATTTAAGGTAAACAATATGATCATGCACGAATGTTCGAGTTGCAAATGTAACGTGAATTATTCAGTATGACACCCATTCCCGCGTTAATTCCGATAGTCTAATCTAGGCTAGTCCAGGGTTCGATCTGTCCTCTTGCCGACTTATGGACTTTTATTAACTTGGTGCCGTATAATCAGTAGTCTCTTCCAAAATTATATTTCTCACTATAAGCTCCACCATCCTCGAATCGCTCGCATTTTTTTTTGGCAGTCTCATTTCCCCTTTGACTTCGCTAGGTCTCAAACAATAAAACTGGATATATGTTTTTCCTCTTTGTAAACCCTGTTGATGAATTTCGTTCGCTTTCACTAACTACTAACACCCTTTCAGTCATTTTTCTTTTGTTTTGACTTTTTGATCTATTCACTCGTTCGAATTATCTTTCGAGAGAATTTTGATCTCCATACATGGCGTCGTTATATCCACCCTGTAGTAGCTCTTAGAGTTATCACACTTTTCCATCGTGATCGCTGGAGACTTAGTTACTGCCTATCCCGACCCAGGATAAAGAAGAAGGGTTTGGCTTAAGATCAGTAGTCCCATCCCTTAGAAGACAGCCATGCCAACAAAAGCCATCAAAAGCTTGAACCACTCAAACTCATTTCTAAAAGTTGAGATATATTCAATTAGAAGAATTATGATGTCAGATGATGAAATCCGAGATTCTCCGGTTGGTACCTCTCGTTTTGTCTATAGAAAAAACGAGACCTGTGACCGAATAGGTCTCCATTTAAACCCTGAAGTAGGACAGTTGAAGCGCTGGACTCTTTTTTCAAACTCACGTTTTCAACATTTGACGTAAAAAAGATAGGAAAATGAACGCCTACGCAAAATAGGTAAGTAAACGAATACTTGAGCTATAATGTTCCGACATTAATAACACGTTTTTGATGAGCTCCTAACCAGTGAAACTAAGTTGGTTTTCGGCTTCCTTTTAGAATCGACTTCCATAGGAATGTTGGTTCGATAAACTTACCCATCAAGAACATGTTAGTTCGGTTTCCCCAGTTTAATGGAGAACTACTATCCCGTTCAATGTTCGACCTTCAATAGATGGCGCCCACTGCCTAGTCAATATTTGAAGATAACCCATAGATGTCATATAATTAACTAGCTTGTTGTCTTACCTCGTAGCATGTGCTTTTTTTACAAAAAATTATCGTTCATGGTTTGCCGAATGCGTCCTCTGTATGAGGAACAGAGTTTGCAATGGAAAAGATTATAAGAAAATTAGACAAGAATGTCAGAAGTACAGCTAGCAAGCTAACTAACACCATATTGTTGGGGCTCGATTCGCCATTCTCTGTACGGATATCAGTTGTCTGTGTGGTGACGTTGAACCTAACCACACAATCCTCAAACCTGAACATGAGACAACTGAGAAAATAGTTCTACAGCAATTAGCGGGGAAAAGGATCCAACAATGGTGAAGGAGAGAAAAAAGAATTAAAAAATTCAAATTCATTGAATGGCATTTCTCAGCCTTGCAGGTGTGACCATTTTTGTGTATCCCATACTTTTTATTCATATTTAAAGTACTGTCATAACTGTGTTCTTCGTCATTTATGGGTGATTGTTTATAAGCGATGAGTCGGTGCAGACAATTCTGTGACTTCCACATAAGATCTTATGAGATAAGCAGCTACATCATGGCATATCTACAATTTTAGGATTAGATCTATTATTAGAGAAATACGCATAACGAAATAGACCATAATTCTGCTTCTTCTCACCTGGCTCGCGAATTCCCCCAAAGTCAAAAATAAAGAGGAACCCAGAGAATTGCACCACTGTTTGTATAAAATAAAAAGATGCGAGGAATAAATGTATAACCACAGGTGATCGATGTTAGGTTCCACTTAAGTTTTTTGTTTCCAGAATGCCTTGATAATCTAGAAGTAACAGACAGTGTACACATCTTTAACATGAAAATTAGTTAAAACGGAACACTTGCTTTCTCTTAAGAAAAGTGTGAACTTGCCAGAAATCGGATTCACTAACAAACTCGGTTATGCATATGATTATGAGTCTGTGAAGACTCCCTTTCATGACACAGTTCGCAACCGTGGATACAGAGTCCGTTGAACTGAAAAATAAGGTTATTCAATTGATGAAGACCAAACAATAAAAACACTAAAAGTCTCAGAATCGAACAGGTTTCTTGAAATGATCAACATAATTGAAGCCTCAAAGACAAGCCGTTTCGTTGGTTTGATGAAATACCCATGTTCTGGTAAGACCAAAATTCTTAAAGTCACCCAGGAAATCAGTTGGTTTGCACCTTATAAGACTGTCTGTTGTGCTAGTCATAAGTATCTCCAATAATCCATCAATGTAGGAAAATATTGAAGCTAGGCTTACTACGGGCCAACGTGGTCTACTAGGTAAGTGCATGACCCTATATCACAGAGGAGGATAAATTGAGTGCACGTGAAGGCAAATGCTTGTATTCAGAAAACTCACACTTATACGGTGTGTGAGCCATGGAAGATGTGACAATAAAGAGAGGAGTTGACCTTGCTTCAGGTCACTACCCGGTTCCACCTAGGATCACTAAAAAAATAAATAAGTAGTTATTTGTCTGACGAGCATCACCATTTTGTGCCTCTTATGTACTAAATTTTATGCCAATGGGATCATTTAGATAGTATACTGTTTCCTCTCTTGCGGTTTATAACACTTTCACTTACAACAAACCGTGCCCCATAGTTATAGGAAAAAATTTCTGTGATGAACCACGTTTGTGAGACAACAATTATACCGAACTTTATTTCATCCTTGGCTACATTCCCACTTCCAAGACTATGGAGATTATTGCGATATGTCATTTAAGTAGCAGTTAAGGTAGTTGAAAATATGATCTGGGTTTAGTTACTAGCCCACATGCAATCATGCAATCTGCTAACTCCCGGGTTTCAAACAAGCATTCACAGTTAGGAGACTAACTTATTGAGAGAGAGGATTGCCTGTCTGGCGACGTGATATTTATAGATTTTTTGACAAGGTTTGAAAGGGTTTCTCACCTAGATCCTATGCGGAAGCTATGAGGTTTCGGAATGACAGGTGCTGTACAAAAATGGATAAGCAGCTTCTTATATGGTCGAAACAGAGAATTGAGGTAAAAGAGACACCTTCTGAATGGAGGCCGATCAAAAGTAGTGTGTTCCAAGGCAACATCTTGAGTTCCCTACTTTTCCTTCTCCACATCAATGAATTACTGCGATTGTTTAAGTCGTCGACATTATTGTTTATGAATGATGTCAAAATCTGAAGAACATTGGGAAGTCAATCTATGGTTGTGATTCCCAGACTTACCTAGAAGAATTGGCTAGATGGTCTCAATGCTGAGGCTTAAAAATTACTTTAGAGAGAGAGTATGCTCATGAACATCTGACATGATAACAACTGCCAGTATACTGTTGACCGTATATCTCTTTAATGCGTTCAGGAACACAAGGACTTCAGTCAATAGTAAGTCACGACTTGAAAACAACTACACGCTGCAACGCAGCGGCTGTCCGAAATTTTCAAGAGTTATGGTCACTTCGCCAAGTGTTCAAATACTTTAACGAAAAGAAGTATCGAATTTTATATACCGCTTATGCGAGACGACATTGAGAGTACTGTATCCAGTCATCTGGTACATGACATATCAAGAATACTAACTCATCTGAGCATGTTTAGTGTGGGAACAAAATTAATGAAGAGTATTTCCAATTTCCCTCACAATGAGTGCTTAAAACTCCTGAACCTTTTACCATCATCATATCGTATCAATAATATCAACATGAGTTCCTTTGGATATTATATTGACATTCTGTAGATTTAATTACGATTCGGGCTTCAATATGTCTTAACTTTTTGCTCCCTCTGGTGCTAATAATCTTCAAGGTCATAACAAGAATGTTCACAGACCGTAACATATTAAACTCAGAGCGGGGTCCCGCTTTTATCATCGAGTGATCTGGAGGGTGAAAAGTGAAACGATCACCACGCTACCCAGACAAGTCATAGAGCTACTGACTTCCGAATCCTCACTACCTAAAAATACTACCACTTGTCTCGCCGTCAGTAAGGCCTCTAATCACTTCATTTGCTTTTCAAGTAAACAATCGGGTCACATATGAATGTTCGGCTTCGAAATGTAACATGTATTATTTAATATGATATTCATTTCTTCGTCAATTTACTTAGGTAATGTTATTGGAGGAATAGATGCAAAGTTTGTTTGCATAAGGTGATCTGTTTGATTCCTAATAAATTTCCAGGGACGAATTGCAAATAGTAGAGTAACTAACGTAAATGCGAAAATGCACCAAAAATTAACAATATCTGGTGGTAGTTAAGGCAATACATCAATCTCTAGGAAAAAAACGAAAGAATGGTAAATGTGATCGCACAAATATGAATAAAAAATTAATTTTCCCCTGATAAGACCTACAGCAAAAATCTAAATATTATTTGAAGTGCTAAATTTGAGTGTTCCACCGCTACTAGATTAGTATGATATGAGCAATGTTAGCATAATATCTGAAAATGTTGAGGAATCCTTTTTTCAAAAACACACGTGTCTACACTTTTATATAATACTTTTAGATACGGCAGCAATGTAAACGAAAGCTTTTTCTGCTTTATCTATCACCATTTCAATCGCCAAAGTCCAATCAAAATGCTTATGGCGGAACTGCAAAAGCGGCCTTGAGTAGTAAAGGTAGGTTTTCAGTTCACACGAGGATGAATGGTGATAAAAGTTGTTACACTTCTCATCAGCACAGCTATAAAGAAACAAAACATATGGAATAATGCTCCAAATGACAGTTAGAATTAAGCACAGAGGATTTACTCCTCGCGTTTTGTAAACAAGCAGTTTTGAATTCACAAATCCGAAATCTGTACGCAATAAAGTTATTTATTTCGGTCCTTAGATCTACTACTAGCATTAAGACCTGTGGATTATTTTTTGAGTTTTAATCGAATCAATCGTCAGTGAGACCATAATTTATGGACGACCTTTGAGCGACGCTAGAGTGACCTTGAGAGCGTCCACTTACTGAGTAGAAGCATGTGAGGGTTGTCGACCAGAGTGAGAACTTGTTTGCTGACTTACACTTGATAGTTAGGTTTACGAACTAGATTTACGATTTTCATCACGAACTATAACCAGCTGTAATGCCAAAACTCTATTTAGCCAGATAATTATTCACTCATTGAAATGTGTGAATTTCGCACCGAAATGCGGGACCTGATTGGTTCGTCCATAAATTATAGTCTTGTTTGAAAATTTTCTAATTGATGACTTCTCAATTCGGCTCTCCTGGGTGGAAGTGGTCAAACCATCATGACACTCTCAAGGGCACTTTGGCGTCGCTCAAAAGTCCCTCGTAAGTTATAGTCTCGCTGTCACATCTAAACATTCCTGGACATCCCCTCACTTAACTAAGCTCATTCACAACACAAAACTTAGGAAGTTAAGGACGTAACATAGCAGAATGGACTGTAGGGATACCTTTCACTCTCTAAGATTAGTCGAATCCTGGACTTTTCTACCGGCTGAGGTGGTCAATGCGACTTCTAAGGGGTCCTTCAAGAGGGACCTCAATGTATTTCACTACAATGTACTAATACTTTTGTCTTAAAAATATACCTAGGTTCCTACTTGGAGCTGTCAATAATCGACTGCTATTAGATACGGAATCCCTCTAAACGAAAGCTTTATCTATTCCCTCCATAACGATTTGAAGATAATAACTATTTCTTTCGACTTCCACTAATAGTAGGCAAATAATGTGGTTTTATTATGACAACAGTAGTTTTGTAATGTTACTATACTTAGTTTTTGATTCATATCAACTCACCCTATTTTGGCTTAAGGGTAGGGTAAATGCCCTTTGCACTTAAAATTGGTAGGATGGGAATTCTCATTGGCCTACTCCATCAACTATTGATGCTAATTTAGCAATTCACGTGCACATCTGTATGTATTTATGGGTCGCATTGTTTATTTTCTATTCCCTATATTTTTGTCTCAATTATTTATCATTCATTTGCCATCTTTTTTAGTGAACGTAACTGTGCAGTTCATCATCTAAATAAATACACTTAATTTGAGTTTGTTATTTACAACTTCAATGTAGCATGAACACACACCTGGTTGAATACTCCTCTAGCGATGAAAAGACTGAAAAACTGGAGCTGCCTATAACACTCCAAGATTTAAATTCCGATTCCTTTCGTTTTTTTGTTCGTGAAGATGATCCTTCGAAGCATGATTTTCGTAGTAGAACTTTTCCTCATGAACCTGGGAGTTGGGCTACTTCCGTTTATATTGCATGTAATCATAACAACATCTTGCATTGTACCAAGGTTATCATTTGCATTCTAGAATACTTGAGGCGATCAAAGACCCCGTAATTCAATCAAATCCTGTAATGGCTGATTGTTATACTGTGGATTCTCCTCATATAAGTTTGTCGAAGACATGGCCTATTTATTTTCATTGGATTGAGAATGTTGTTGGTAATCTTCGTTCTGCTGTAAAATCTTTTGGAAAGTAAGAATAATTGATACATGCTTAAGCAATTGTAGGTTCTGGATTGCACTTGATGGTGTAGAAGTTCTTGTAAATGAAGAAAATACACGGTACCCACCTTCTACCGTTTATAATGTGTAGATCATTTTTTACTTTAGTAGCTTCTGAAGAGTCGCGTATAGTACTGATTTCTCTACTCAATTCTGTTGATCCATGTGTCACTGCGTTTAGAGGACCAAAGTATTATGAGGTGAGACAGTCAATTTTCCTATTATTCCTCAGAATCCTAAATTTCATATGAGCTTTTTGTGGTGTAATGGGAATGTTCGTAAGAAGTATTCAACAGAAACACTAAACAATTTTTCGGTAAGACAACATTTTTCTGTGATTTATTTATGCAGATGGCTTTGCAAAAAGCAATATTTGTAGAATCTAAAAAAATATTCCATGAAGTTACAGATATAGTGTGCAAAAGTGGAAACAAATATTTCGACATAAATATATTGTAATTTTTTATGTAAATAGATGTACTGTGCTTTGAAATATTCATATTTCTTTACAAGCTTATTTATTCTGACGCGCACAAAAATAATCAGTCTTATCGGCATTCATTCAAATTAAAATAAACCGGAATAGTTTGGTATCAAAGTAGGATATGAGTTCTAAAAGCACAAGTAAGACATTTAGAGGCCCGATATCTGACTCGAAGTGGGTTGTATAATTGTTTGTTATTGAATGATTGCTGTCGAAATATATATATCGCCAATCGTATATAATCATTGACTTAAATCGCGATGGTGAATAACAGAACTAAATAAGTCAAATACGAGAATGGGTTTTTGAATACGTATATTCTGTACAATCGTTGATACGAAAGCGAAACAAAATAAAATTACGCGCAATGGAGAAGGCGATTGAGCCAACTTGATTTAATCAAGCGTAAATCAATATTTATAGCCAAACAAAAACAAGTTACAGACATGACTAAGATAATAAATGCACACATATACGTCTACATGGAAACAGTCAAGATTGATAAGCGAATAATTAACAAGATCAAAATGTGACTCAAGAATGATGAGTAGATCGGCCTGTCCAGAAGCTAGAATGAGTTATGTGGGCTTAACGTAGCAACCGACACTATAGACATATATGTAAAACATAAAGGCAGTTTCCAGTACCACATGGTGGTTAGTTTTTGGCCACGTCAGCCTGTCCCCATTTCCTGATTTTTAGAATCTAAATAACCCCTGCAATGTATCTTATGTAATAATTTGCCTCGTTGCTGATGTCTTACTCATATATATGAGAATTCACATTGCCAACGGTTCCGCTCTTCATTTTCTTCTGACTCTACTCCTCACTTTATTTGGTGGTTCTACCACACACATTGCTCGAAGCACTTATGACTTGATACGTCCCAGTCACATTTTAGCGGTTGATTGAAACTGTCAAATGCTACATAGAAAGTTGTTATTTGGTTGCCCCGTTCCGATACCATGACGTTCTTATCAACATTGGGGATATGAACTATAGAATTTTAACTCAATGATGACAAGTTACGCTCTTTCTGTGAGACATGAAGTTTTTGTCTCCGATTTCTGACGGGGTCGAGGGTACGCACTGTTAACAGGTCCTGTGGTATAGTGAGTCAGTTCCCAAGTCTTTCACCTTTCCTGCATGGTTATAAATGATGGTATTCAGAGTATATGAAATAAGTCTTCTCTGAACATCAGGAGGTCCCGCTAATCAGTACACCAGAAATAGAGAATTGACACCCCAAGCCAATCTTTGTACTCTCAGTATGAAGACAAGGTAATTTCAAGATAAAAATTTATGCTCTAAATGCAATGTGGCCCTCAAACACATTGTTCAAACTGGATCTTATCAGTATTTATATTACTTGAAAAGTAATTAAACACGAAACCATCCCATTATAGTAAAATAGAGAACACTACATTCATAGGCCGATAAAGTCTTTATTAGGAATGTGGCTTCATTAACCGAAACCTCTCCGGTTGATACAATCTGAACAGGAACAATTCTTATTTCACAATTGAGCACCTAGTCTTGGCTACTACGTTATTTAGACTGAATTTAAAAGAAGCAGAAATTACTATAAAGGATTGTTTGGGTGTTTGTTTCATAGGGCTTCAATATCAATCAACTCTTTGATTGACAAGTAAAATAGTACGTTCTACTTCTTTTTAAGTACTTAGCAAAGTTGAAAGCTGCAAATGTGAAGAAATCGCACTGTATAAGTTATTGGAAAATAAGGAAATAGATCTGTAGCGTTAATCTACCAAAACTTGCAACAACAAGTAAAGATTTGAATCGAATTTTGGATTATGATTCAGGTTCAGTATAAAATAAATAACTGTCGATTTGGTAAACTCCATTCAAGGGCAGTGTTACATATTTACGTTTTCGTAAAATGGAATGAATTTATTTCGACCTATAAAACTCCTCTTAGTCTATGAGGAGGGATAGATATTGTTTGGTTGCCTGTCCAGATTATTAGGTCGAACGAGATCGGGGTCGCGTTCGTATCAAATACACCACTGAGAAATCAAGATCGCCAGAGTTTACATTTATTACATATTAAGACTGATGGCACAAATGTGCATTCCTTCTGTATATTAAAACGCAAGCACTGTGTAAAAACATATGTCTGAAGATATTTTCAATCAATACTCGGATCCAGACAATAATTTTGGTGCTGCGGTAGTAGAGAACTGCATTTGTAAAAAAAATATCGGAAGATGAAAGTTTGCAAGTTGGTATGAATCTGTAAATAACCAGCTTAGTTACCACACAATTATCGTCTGACCGCGAAAGTTATATCAAATAAATATAGAGAAAACAGTGTTATAGAATTATATCTGATTCACGCATAAAAAGTGTTCTATATTATTCTGGATGTTTGGAGTTTACCATTAATATGTGATAAGATAATGTCTTATCGATCCTGGTTGCTGACTACCGACCGGATTTCATGCCGAACTGAGCGACGATTTGGGCCTTACGTATAATGATTTACTTGGTATTGTTTGCTTGATTTTCACATTGATGTTTAGGATTGCCACTGATAAACGGGAAGATTCAAGCAAACAATACCGAGTGAATTTACACTTCACTTCATTGCACAAGCAAGGAACTATCAGGATTCACTAGCTAAGTGGATAACGTGATGGCATTTGAAGCGAACGGTATTGGGTTCGAGTCCCGTTGTGAACATAATAATATGTGAACATGATTTTCGTAACTAAAATTAGCCTTGAAAAACTTGTATAAATCTGGAGTTAAGGCTAGTCTTATTTCGTAACTTCGCTTCTCATCTATCTACCAATGAAGGATACTGCTTGCTCAATTCACCCTAGTAGAAACTGGACAGGTTAGAAAAAACACTTAGTGTGAACAGTCTTAATCACTAATCTAACCAAAACTCAATTCAATGTTGAAGTGGAACGGCTTGTGAGCTTGTATAGGGAAAATATTAGAAGAATATTCAATTCATCGTAATTTAGTAGTGAATAACAAATATGAAGAAAATATTGCTAACATGCTAATCAGAAAATCACAGCTCAGATGTCATAACCATAGTTAAAGAGTAAGATATAACCAAAACATAATGTCAAGAGATTTCCTTATATGCTGAGGAATGTTGCATAGATATATATGTCCATGACAGAAATTAAGATATACAAAAAGATAATACAATTTATTTAAGTCAGGTGCTTATATCGATGTAGGATTATTTTTCAGCTTGTTCTGCTAGTTCACCCATTGATGTGTAGGATGAAACTGGCTTCAGTTGTTGAGTCCGCACTAAGCCTTGTTGAGCCATGCTTGCCAGGAGACAGCCTTCTCTGTTCCATATGTCTCCATATGAAAGTGTCAAAGCGCCACCTGTACACCAAAAAACCAAATTTTAATTTAAATGGTCAGATAGCAATCCTGAATGTCCACCAAAGAAGGTTAACAACATGTTTCATAAAATTGAGAAGACTAAAGAACCAGCAGATTTCCTAACATAAGGTTAGGTAAACCACAAAGTTTTCAGAAAACATGCTGTTAAAGTTCACTTGGTGTTGTTTACTTGTATCTTCCCATTGATATTTAGGACTGCAGTTGATCAATCTCTTGTTGGCATATGTGCATCCTGTGCGGACTGCCTCGATATTGCCTGAAGTTACAAGATTTATAAGCAAAGATGGAGAGAGACGGATCTATTACAATCCTAAATAACAATGGGAAGATACAAATAAACAACACCAAGTGAATTTAAACTTCACCTCATTGCACAAGCAGGTGGCTATCAGGACTCAGTGGATAACGTGATGGCGTTTGAAGCAAACTGTACTGGGTTCGAGTCTCAGAGTGAACATCAACTCTGAAATTCAGGTACATCCATCTGAGAAGTTCCAGATAGGATGAGACACGCGTTCTGGATTCCACTGCTAGCTACTATCCATCTTTGCTTACATACTGTTAAAGGTTGTACATCAATATAATTTATGAGTTGCAAGCTTTTATAAACACTCTTACTTGGGATCAAATCAATAATCACAATTAGGCAGTGGTTTCCAGTTAATCCAGAAGTTCTTCATATAGATGGATTGATACACCGTATTTACAATTTTTCACGCGCTACTGTAATAAATGATTGCATGTAGTTCATGTAACTTCAACAATTCAAGAACCAAAGTGTAAGATGCACAATTTGTTTTCTAACTAAATTATATAAAATCTTGGAAGATGAAATGAATTAACCTTACCGTATGTTTATAAGACGATACTAAACATTGATGAAAATAACAAAATTAAGAATGATAGTGGTGATCGCTCAATATCAAATAGTTTCGTAGCAAATTTAAAACTAATCCACACTACTGTGCTGTTGAGACTCTGTAGCATGGAAAACTGTCTAATCAAAGTAGTTCAACTACAGTATTTTACTATATTTTCTTGTGAGCTTCAATGTCGTTACTGAAGGAAAACTTTAAAATAGGATTAATGATAAACAAAACTGTTCAAAAACCGATAAGTTGCAATAAGTGACGAACCTACGTAATTTGCTCTTGTTCCAAGCAAAATCCATTCATCTGGCTTAATTTCTATTTCGGGATTGTGAAACCATATGCTTTGATTTAGCGTGACCAAGTATAAAACATGATGTGGTTCAGTAAGTGCGACCCATAACAAAAAAGCATCCGATAAATACGCTAGGAAGGCATCACGATAAGAATGTAGAGAAGTGGCTAGAAAATGGAAAACAAATAATTAGATTTTTTTAACGTACTAAGACTTGTGAGTCATTCACATAAACCCAGTAGACTATTATATACTTGATAATTCTCCTAGACTAGGTAGGTGCTCTAAAAAAATTGTGATCGTATTAGGCATATACTCCTAACATGATAGGATATGAACTTGTTAAGTTCGCTGAAAAATACCAATAACAAAGAAAATTTAGCGATCTAGTGCACTAATTCCTCATCTTAGTAATGCAGAAACACTAAAAATATTTCTAATGCTCTTAGAATAATAAACGGGTGAAACAATATTGTTTCTTAATGATTAGCTATCAAATAGCTTTCAAATAACAGCATTTACGCTTTTCATCCACCTAACTGGCATAAAATGATATTACACCAAAAAAAAACGGTAGAAAAGCTCCTAAATCCTTAAGATGGATAGTCGGTTCAGCATAATTAAGAAAAATTATTATTTGTATGATTAAATGATATCTCTATATTATTAACTATGGCATTTCAAGTGAAAAATGACCTGAATAAAGTACAAGAGAGGAAAAAGAAAGAAAACCTATCTACACCACATGGGACTTAAGGACAATAAGTCAAACTAAATAACCATACTGACACTAGTTGTAAACCGATGTCAAACTATTATAGTTCTTGAAGACGATTGAAGCAAACATAAATCTTGTGATTTTAACACACCCACAAGAAAACAGGTAAATAGTTTGTTTTTTTCCAAAGATAATTATAATTCCACAGATTGCTCTTTTCTGTAAGGATAGTAGGTTAAGAAAGAATAGTAGTACAGTACCTTAGAGGGCCAGGGATTCCATTGTAAAATGAAGTGTCAGTTATCTGGAAATTTACTTCGCTTAATTGACCTTCAAATACCATGAACGTTATATGATATACAAATAGAAAAAGTATTTAGTACTACATGTCATTCAGTCAGCGAAAACGTAGGACCAGGCACATATATTCATCGGTCCAAGTTGCCATACCTCGTTAGCACAACAAGATGAACACCGGATTCATAGAAGTAAGGTTGTATATAAGGATATAGTATAGGAAGGAAAAAAGTTATGGAACAATTTTAATCTCAAGGTTTAAGGGAAGATAAAGAGTGAATACACCTACGCCATTGTGATCGATTCTGAGCCATATCACCCAGGGTCTCCAACCATTGGTTACGATAGTCACGCGGACTCCAACCAGGTAGTCTGCATCTGCCAACATGGTTCAGACTAGAAGTTAGTGACTTCAAGCACTGATGCCATGTTTTGGTTTGGCCGCCCCTAACTCTCTTCCAACCATCCCCTACACTGGTCAACATTGCGCGTCGTGGTAATCGGTGTCCAGGCATACGTAATACGTGGCCCAACCATCTCAGTCGATGAAGATTCATGACCTCATCGAGTGATTTACCATCATTCCCTAATACCCTGCGTCCTCTGGAGCCAATCCATCTGGACCAGCTGCTCTTCCTCGTTTCAGATTACTTATAGCCTTTTGAACTTCAAGTAGGGTCGGGGGGCCTACTTCAATGTTCCATTCAGGTTTTCTGGGAATAGTGGGTAGTTGTGCAGTAGCTGAAGGCCAGCTAAACTGCTCCTTAAAGTGTTCCGCCCATCGTTCTAAACGTTTGGGTTGAGAGCAGATAAGGGTTCCGTCTTTTTCCGATATTGTCTCACACTTGACTTCTTAATTCCGGTTTCTTTTATTAGTCTGAATAGTTGCCTGGTGTTGCCTACAGCCGCTGCCTTTTCCATCTCTTTTGCTTTCGTTGCCCACCACTGCTCACGATCGTTCCTTAGACTTTTAGTTAACCTAGATCTAATTTGTTTACGCTCTTCGTCGTGTTCAGAGCCTGATGAGATGAGTTTACGCGAATCCATCAGTGAAATAGACTTAGAAGAAATCCACTGGTTTTTTGGAGCCCTATGGTTTAAATAACTAATAGATGTTACTGATGTTTCCACAGCTGTTCGTGTGTCTTTCCAAGCAGCATCTGGGTTAGTCTTGTTTACAGAACTGCCTAGATGTGAACTCAGTTGTTTCTGGAATTCGCATTTGGCTTTCTCGTCCTCCAGTTCAATCCTAATGGGTCTTCTTAGTGTACTTTTCTTGCGTCCATTAAGGCGCAGACAAATGCGCACTCGTATTAAAGCGTGATCAGAGTCTAAACAAGTATTCCAATACGAGCGACAACCTTCTATTGAGCCTCTACAACGATGACTGATGACAATATGGTCTATTTGAGTCCATCGTTGATTTGGTGAAGGTGGTCGCCATGTTAGACGATGTCTCTCCTTATGCTTAAAATTAGTGCTTGCTAAAAATAAACGATTGTCTGAGCATAGTTGCGACAGACGATAACCATTATCGGTTCGTTGAGCCGGAATACTAAAACACCCACCTAAATGTCATTCTGTTTGATTTAAGCTGCCTACCTGGGCATTAAAGTCACCCGCTACGACTACTATGTCTGAGCGCTTAGCTTTCTGAAGAAGCTCAGAGAGCTTTCTGTAAAAGTCATCTTTCACTTCATCATGGCTGCAGTCAGTGGGAGCGTAGGCAGAAACGACGAAAAGGCAACGACGTGTGTCCCTATCCTTCCGAGTTCTTACGGAGCCATTTAGCCGGACAGCACACAGGCGACTGTTAACGGGGATCCATTCTAATAGTGCCTGTTCTGCCCTTGTACTTAGTGCTATGTCTACACCTGCAAGTCCACGAGAACTAGCCATCGGGTCGCCAGATACACGGAGGGTATATTTCGTTGGCTGTCCATTTTGGCGAGGTGAGGTCAAGTGAATGACTACACTGGGATCCTGTATGTGTGTTTTTGTGGGTAGTTTTTGTGTTAGCTCCGTTCTTCAAAGGACCTTACCGCTGGAGACGGATATCCATGGGATAAGGCGAGGTGTGCATTTTTAGGGTCGACCTTTTCTAACCCCAACCCTCCTTGTGGGAAGGCAGCATCACTGTCATGCTGGTTGTCTGAAGGAAATACCTTACTGCTGTCACACCTCTGTACAGTCAGCAGTACGACTTCGCCTTCGGACCCTGGGTTTGCTGCTTTTAGTCTCACCGCTCTTCAAACAACCTGCCTGGCATGGTAGGACCTTGAGGAACGATTGTTCCAGCCAGTATAGCTCGATTGAATCATCACGATAGGTAAGCCCGACTACCACGTCAAGGTAGCAGCAACGGTCGGGTTAGTACTACATAGAGAAATATTATGTATTCTTGGTTTTGTACTCGTTTGTCCAGTTAGGCAGCAGCGCTATTTGATTAATTAAAGGAAATTTTAAACAAGAGAACATAAGGATAATTTGACGAATCCCTAAACTTTGTTAAAAATGCAACCGACTCATTTGTGAGGTGGACAATTCGAACACAGAAAAGTAACGATATAATAGAAAGGCTTTGAATGGTCACACGATCTGTTATGTTCAAACCATTAACGCAGATCAAGGATGATTTATAGTCTTTGAAAATGGTGAGCATTATACACGGAAAATAAAAGTAATAAATACACTAATGAAAGTTAACAACTTACAAGGTGGTTCCTTTAAACGGATCCAAGAGTGTAGTTGTCCACCAACATTTGACTTGAGGCCGAGAACATATTCGGGTTCACAGAATACGGTTTCAAGAGGTGAATTAGCATCGAAACTTTGATAATGTAGTACCCGAGTTCGTGGTACATTTGGCAAGTTGTCACTAATAAAAAAATGATGCAATTAAATCAAATATTTAGAAAATTCTATTAATGACACTCGGAGCAAATTACTATTTTCTAATCAAATATAAAAATTCATAATGCTTAATATGAAGCGCATCAGTAAGTAACATTTTTTTGTTTAGCAACAGAATGACGATGTTGGTAAATTCAGTTAGTATGAGAGCAACAACAGAAGTTTCAACAAATGAAATAGGTATAAAATAACACTTTTCGTATATAGAAACATAAAAAATTATTCAGTCTCTAATTGTAAAACCAAAATAGTCATTTTAACTGAGTAGTTTCTTCCAAAATATAATCTAATGTTTGATTTTCCACTTCAATTTATATTATTTCTCTTCAACTTATTCTCGTCTCATTATTTCTTCTAGCTGTGCTAACATAAGTTGTGACAAATCAAGTTCCTATATTGTATTTAACTGATAACTGGTTGAGGCAGAAACATTAGGCTACGTTTTAGATATAAACGATATCTCTGTTATATGTTTAATGGTCTGGTACCACGAAACCTTGTGGTAAATGTTTGGTTTTAGCAACCCCAGAGTGAAGATATAAAGGTATTTTTTGGTATAACTCAGTTAGATGAGTTATTTTCAGATGTGCTCATCATTTCAACTCGTTCACAAGGAAATTGACTAGGTTCTATGTAAAAAAATTATATTGTGTAGAGTTTAAAGGTTGAAATTTGATATTAAATCAAATATGAACACTTTAATTGTTGTGGTTATATATGTGAATATACAATTTGGAAAAAAATGAATACAGTAATACCGACAAGTAAATCTATTGGAAGCTGTGGACATAGTGCACATCTGCGAGAACGAACTTTTAAATACTGTCCAGAAGATTATTTAAACATGATAATAAATAACTTTTTTGTTTTATCCCAACAAGTAGCAAAATTGTATTTCTGACATTTCGTGACTCAGTGTAAGCCACTTATTCAGAGTAAATAAATAACCGAAATATGTTAACACAAGTTTAAATAGAATATTTTTAGTAAAATAAAAATCATAATAGGTCTGCATATGCCAATGTCAAGTTACTCTTGGTTCGCAGTCAGTATTTTAGAAGTCGATGGGTGGAAATCAGTCAATCTTGTACAAATGTTATTTTTTATTTTATGGTACAATGTGGTCAGTTTGTTTGGTATATAAACCCAGTATATTTGAGAATAATAATTCATGTTGCAGAAGCTGTTATTGGTGTTCTAGACTTAACTGGCTGGGCTAGACAGATAGCAGGGCCGATACGCACTGTTGACTGTTCGTACGGTTTTTGTGTGTCACTGTTCCAATCGATAATTCGATGCTCTCTGATTGGCGGTTTTATCACGTCATACGCTAACAAGGCATCCACTCGGCCACAAGATATAGCAATCCCAAAGAAACCTACTAATATTAGCAAATCCTTCGTCCTAAGAAATTCACCAACAGTTAACAATTTCATTTTTTATACTGTATTTTACAAGTATTTGTTCTATTCCCGATGAAAACTGATAAATCCTGTCACCATAGTTTCAGCTTAAATATTGTCTTCAATGTATCAGAATACCTGATTGTCACATTATCCGTTGTTCCTATCGTATCTTGAAGGTAAAGTTTCAGTGGATATAAGAACATCTCCCACCTATCTGTATATAATTTGTGATATTGTAATAAATAAAACTTGAGTGTAAACACAGAAACACATTCATAATAAAATAATATATATGTGAAGTCTTAATATAAAAACATATTAAGGATTCACTGCGTATGTATGGTCTACAACTTCTTCAATAAGAACGTCAAGACACTTCTATTGTAAAGAGCAGAAGCATGTAGAACAAATACAACCATCATCAAAAGTACAAGTATTTATACGCAATTGTCTACACAAGATACTCCAAATCTGTTGGTCATACACCGTCACCAACAACCTACTGTGGCAGAAAGAAAACCAACTTCCAGCTGAACAGGAAATCAGAAAAAGACGTTGGAAGTGGATAGGACACACAGTACGGAAATCATCAAACTGCATCACGAGGCAAGCACTAACTTGAAATCTTGAATGGAAAAGGAAAAGTGGAGGACCAAATAACATGTTACGTCGACAATTGGAAGCAGATAAGAAAAGAATGAATAGCAGCCAAAAACAATTTTGAAAGGAGGGTCTAGGACAGAGTTGGTTGTTGAACCGCAGTCTATTCTTCTATAAGGGGTAACAGGCGTGAGTAAAAAGTAAAATCGCCACCAAAAGTTTCAAACATTAGACTTACAAGTCAAGTGATTTCACATATGAATTAAAATCTTGGAGTTTCTCAACAGACTGAACATGAGGCATGGGAGACAAAAAGGATGCAGGATCCTTCTCGGGTGTTTTAAATGAACAATCCATGCGAAAATATGGAGTAATTAAATCCGATTCACTTTTATTTATTGGAAAAGCTTCAACTAATCTATGACAAAATGAACGTCCATCACGAAGTTTTGTAACATGGTAATCATTTGGTTCAAGTACATTTGCTGAAAAAAAAAACAAATTAAAGCATCAACAAATCAGAAAAATGAAGAAAATATAACATAAGCTTTCAGTCTCTAATATGGAATAACAAAAGCACATCCTTAAAGTAAAAAGAAAATCAAAGTAAATCAACGGGGAAATGAAATTATAGAAAAAAGATGGCTATAGATTAATATATTTAGAATCAAAAGCCTAGGACAGAGAAAATATCCAGTCATATCCTGATTATTTTTCAGAGATGATACTGAGAATATCCAATCATCGATTTCCAACATTTTATCATTCATAACTGAAAATCACTGACCTACATTACACAGTTGAGAGAAACATCACTAAATGGTGTCATATCTTTACTTTTATTTAACGATTTATAAAACCGAAGACGCGAAAAATGATCACTATGTAACTGAGATCTTAGCTATCGTTTCGATGATGCTTTCCAATCAATAGCTTCAATATTTTCCCCCAGCGAAGTACTAAATTCATTACTCTAATGTTTCTGCATTGATAAAAAATGTGAGAAGAAACATAAGTTTGGATTTTTAGACAGATTTGTAACAGTTAGCTGATAAGTCTTTTAATTGAACGCTTGAATCGGTTTGTTAAGCTCTTCTAATCCGTGTACAGAAAATTGAGGGTATCTATAGAATTTCAGAAGGCTCTGGGCTTCTGGAACCATACGAAACAGTAGAAGGGTACGTAGTCATTCCATCAGAAATGTGACGCGTGACTTTACTTCATAGATTTTTCTGAGAAACTTCTACTTAACACTGATGGGATAAAATGTTTCATATCGTCTTCAGAGCCCCTGTGTACTATTTCGAGGAATCATTTGGATCTCCCCAACACCTTTCTTCTTACAAAAAATTGGACTTCATCTTACGGTCTACTTGCCACATCATTACCATTAGCAGTTTACTGAATTTATTGCAATACGAACTACAAAGATCGAATCAAATCATTTGAGCTTAAGAAGTTGAAAAACTCCACAGACAAATTATTAACCGTCATTTTAGGTTGTACATATGTCCTTTGATATGCTTAAAGTAAGAGAAAATCCACTGTGAATTTTCTTCAAATCATAAAGATATTGAAAAATTTATGCTAATTTTTTATTAATTATAGATGGTTTGTAATAAAAACTTAGTTTCAAGCTAATCGAATTTTCCTACAATTAAAAATATTATACCATTACCGTAGATTTTAACGTACTCTATGCTAAATGGAACTAACGAAAAGCAAAACAGGAATTTCAAAGATTTTTTCAATACAAAAAACTAAATAAGTCAATGAATTAAAAGTTAAATTATTTCACCGGATTTCATAAGAACACAGCTTGAAAACTGTGATTACGATTTATAGTCAAAGCTAGATGGGTAATAAAACAATGAGCTGTCAAGACAGTAAAAACATACATGAGATGGTGGAAATTTGTAGCTCAGCTTGATGATTTTGATGGAGTTTTGTTCTCTGAGCTGGATGGTTTGGTCGTGGAGATTCCATCGTTCTTCTGAATGACATGATCAACACAAACTTCAGGTAAAAGTAAAATGTTTGAATTTCTCCACATATGGCTCATGGCTCGTCCTGTAGACCTCGATGTTGATTGATTCTTGTTGACTTTAAACCTGTCATTGTTTAAGGTCAACAAGAACCAATCAACATCGAGGTCTACAGGACAAGCTGTGAGATTAACTTGTTTAACAGACAGTGTAATTCGAACAACAATTTGTATATTATCATGTCTGTATGAACTGTATGCTCGACCACGTGTTACGATCTCTACACATATTCCTCCTTCTTACTTATATAGCTTGATATATATATATATATATATATATATATATATATATATATATATATAATAACAATAATAAATTGTAGTCAGCAATTCGTGCTCCTTTCTGAAATTCACACACCGTTGTGATTTATTTAATAAAGGTTATGTGGGCGATTGATATAGAGAGCCTAAGGAATTATCTCGAAGATAATCCACTACATCATGATTGAAAAGACATTTTTCTTTTGATTTAAAATTGCCCCATGATACGTTTTTACAAAACTCATTGCCAATTAACTTACATCGGTCATGAAAATAACAGTGCAGGCTATTCGGTCTGAAATCTTTAGGAACGGTTTTACTAGCAGCCATTAAAGCTTGAGCCATGAGCTCACCACCATAAATAGTTCGTGGATTAGGCAAGAACACGCGTTCACCTCTGCAAACAATCACATGAGAGATTACAGTTTGATTATGAGTTCACAGTAAGAAAGTATATATTTCAAAGACAAAGCCCTATTACATGATAGTCGCAAAATTTTCAAGTTTCTTGTCATTATAGTAATAAAATATCGAATATCTGATAGAAGAAAAGCCTCTGTACTAATCTTCCGACTGAACAAAAAAATGTATATAACTAAAAACAATGTTACTAGGAGTTACTTATTTTACAGAAATTCACCAAGTCAAATCTAAATGGTGAACTCCTACAGTTATCAACAGAATATAGACAAAACTGATATTTTGAAAATACTTATATTTCAAAATAATATAATACTTTTATATGACACGTTTTAATGTCTACGACCACAAATCTCGATATTTAAAACAAATTCACTATCCAATGTATGAGGTGAAATTCTATTTCTTTTAGAAACATAAACCACTCAACGATCACTTGGAGATTTATAGGCTGGGTATTTTCACCACATCAAGTCTTGGAAATAGAAAGCGGAAATTGCTAACCGAAAGTTATCATCAAAACAACTTTCCTAAAACAAATTCCTTTATACCGAAAGTATTTCTGCTTAAAATTACACACATACTACTTGTGAAAACTACTTTAAAAAGTAAACAAATTCACAAATTTTAACTTCCTTGTGCACATTCAACAAATGCATGTTAGAACATTTGCAAAACGATGTTATTTCTTTCTTACATAATAAATCACTGATTGTCCACAGTTTTCAAGAACTGTCTTAGTCAATCGTTGTGGAATACATTACTAATAAGTATTTATTGTATACCTATTTATATATAACCAGTTTTGGTGTGTCAAGCTAAAAGAATACAATCCACATCACATGAACATTAAACTACATTCGATTTCATTTAAAAATAATATTAATCTTACCTGAATACATTTTCTCTTTGTAATTTCATATCTAACGATTTCGTTATAAATTTATCACCAATATTCATTGTTCCTGGTAGGAATATTCAAAAGCTAAAATAAAGAGAATCAAATTAAATGATGTAAAATTGTTATTATTATGGAAGAAAGAGAGAGAGAAGACAAAAAGGCAATGAGCATTTTCTCCAGATATATATTTTTATAATGAATAGTACAGAAATGATTCGTACAGGGACATAAGTTTGTTTTTTTAACAAACAAAATTGTTTAGTGTATTTCGAAGAAAAGTGGAATTCTCACTGGCCAATTGTTTCAAAATAAGTTGAGATTCTTTTGGATATTGTAAGGATGGCTTTAAAAAATTGAAATGATAAATTAAAAAAAAAGAAGAAATGGTTAGAAGCAAGTAGATAACATTATAAAATCAAATCAAATTTGCTTCATATTTTTATGAATAATCATATTCCATATGGTAAAATTTGAACATGCAATATATTGGTTTTGTTTAAATGACATTGGGTCAGTGAATTGCAAATATGTATATAATCAGAAAGGGTTTTGTGGAGATTTCAGTATTTTCATAGTTGAAATCATGAGTTGATTGGAGTTAGACCACCATGGAAAACCTGGAAGCACTGGACGGCTGTTTCGCCCTATTGTGGGACTCCTCAGCAGTGTGCATCCATGACCTCGCCTAGCGAGATTCGAACCCAGGACCCACCAGTTTTGCGCCAGAGCTTTTAACCGATACACCACTGAGCCGGCATCCAAGGGTGTTAATGTCTAACCTCAACCAATCCACGAAGTTTGAGCAACCGTTCACCAATTGTCATCAGTGAGTTGATATCTCACAACAAACGTGGTTTGAACTCCACTGGTCACTGCTTCCCACTAGAAGTCCAGAAAACATCTCTTGAAGTCAGTCACTAGTGTGTATATAATGATCAGAAGGGGTTTTGTGGAGATTTCAGTATTTTCATAGTTGAAATCATGAGTCGATTGAAGCTCGCGAGGCGGGATCGTGGATGCGCACTGCTGAGGAGTCCCACAATAGGACGAAACGGCCGTCCAGTGCTTCCAAGTTTTGAGATAAGGTGGTGGTTTGAGGTGGTCAACAGGAAACCCTGGACCCGGGTTTCGTGCTACTTGGCACTCGTCAGCTTCCAGGTTATCCATAGTGGTCTAGCTTCAATCGACTCATGATTTCAACTATGAAAATATATATATGTAGTACTTATTTATTAAGTGATTTGAATACACAAGCTAAAACATATTAATGAACAGAAGATCATTGACACTAAATAGTAACAAAAAGCATTTTGGGGAAATAAATAGAGATAGGTAAAAAGGATAATAGGATATAGGGTTGAAGAGAATGAAATACTGATAAGAGGTAAGAAAAATGTAGTAGCATTATTGGTGAGTTCATATTTGTGCAATATGTGACAAATATATTTGCCAATTAGTTGCACAACATCTACGATGTTTACACTATAGAGTAGAATAAAATGCAACAATAATGGCTAGATGATAACAATTATTCAGTAGATCAACTTCCTACGATTGATTATTAAGAAACAAAGAGTATCTTCATTAATCAACATCTTGTCGAAATCATGAAACGATCAATGTTGGACCACTACTGAAACCCTGAAACCATTGAATTGGTTGAAGTTAAACCTTAAAACCATTAAATGCCGGTTCAGTGGTCTAGAGGTTAGGCATTTATGCGCAAGACCAATGGTCATGGGTTTGATTCCTGCGTGCAAGGTCGTGGATGCGCACTACCGAAGAGTCAAATACTAGGACTACAACGGCCGTCCAGTGCTTCCAGTTTTAAATCATGGTCTAACATTGATAGGTTCATAATTTCAATGAAAATCAAATATCTTCACAACCGTATACTGATAATCAACACCTATCTACTTATACACATGGTTTCAGATATATATCATTGTTATATCGTGGTGAAGACATAAGTACGGGCAACTCCCAGGACCTATTAATAGACTAGGCTAGGCGGACAAGGGACCAATAAGGACCCTAGACTATTCATACCAGTTGAACGTCATTGATGTGGCACAGTGTTTAGATTAGACAAGTCGTATTCCGATTGGTGGATAACCCACGTGATTAAAAGTCGGACATAAAATCACAACAAAGTGGCATACGGCCTTGTTCTTTTTAAAAAAATTCATAACATACCATAGTTGTGCATTTGAGATGTTCCTTTCAGTAATAGAAGACATGTGGACTTGTTTCACTTTCCATGCATTGTAGTTTCTAAGTTTGTGGATGTTAGGATATTCACAGGAATATCCCAAAATTATCTCGAAAGTAAAGTCGTATGTTTTCAGACTCTTCACATATTTTGCATGTTATTTTCTATTGGTCATTATTTACAGTTGTCCTAACTATGACTTTCACATGTCGTTTTCCTATTGGTCAATTTTGGGTTGTCCTGATTATAACCTTTACGCGTCCTTTCTTTCCATTGGTTACTGTTCATAGTCATTTTAACTGTATAAATATGCTTTGTCTGTAAACCATTTTTGTTCTGCTGCTGACCCCATAAACCATTCTCATTTAACGGCTGTGTTTTGATTTATTGGAGTTGGGGAACAGTATTGGGGTCGAACTAGGATATCTGAATTTGGTCAATCGGTAGAATTTCGTGCAGTCATATTGCAATACGTAATATTTGGGCAATTTATATTAGTGGAGTACTTGCTTTTCAATAACTAGGTTTAAAATTCAAACACTCCTTTGCCAAAATATGTTTGGCTAATCTTGTAGTATTGTTAGGACACAGATACGAATTGCGATTCATACATGTATATGATTGCCCCCAAATGCCCTGGTACGGCCGAGAGTGGGGAGAGTCACCTCTCCCTCTCGAAATACTCTCATATGGCCAGCGAATATATAGCCTCTGCCAGGGAAGTCCTACTCACTGTCTTCTCGTGGCATTACCGTTGTTTACGAAAGTGAGAGGACGAAAAGCCAATGTCCGGCGCTTTAACCGGGTTGGTGGACATGGAGGGTCCACCTAGGGGAGTTGGAAAACCCTGATTCCAAACCAATGGTGCACATGGTCTCCAGTATCCTGATGGAACGAATGGCGGACGAACCTGTCATTGGTCAACGGCTACCATGGGACTGCATCTCCTCACGATGCTCCACTGCCTTGTGGATCAGACATTCAGGTCAAAGGCTCAGGGTGTGGCCCCCTAAGAAAACCACCTGCTTCAGTCTGGGCACCTGGGAAGTATCACAGCCCTCACACAAATCGAATGAGATTTGTGAGGCGCATATTTATCTGGTGCTTCATTGTACCAATATTTATGTGTTTAAATAAATAAATAAATAATAACATGTATATGATTACTAAACTGAATGAATTTCAATTCCAAAATAGATAGGCTATAATAGGTTTCAATTTAGAATTATTGGAAATTTCCATTAAACTAACAACTAGCAGAGAAATGTTATTTACTGAAATTGCATCCATTGGTGAAAGGTTAATGATTTAATCAACAGTTCAAAATTCAATATTGGGGAAAGTCAACTGTCCATATAGCAGGAAGAAACCATTAAATTTGGGTTTTCTCCTCACTGTTAACAAGTGATACATCAACCTACAATAAATTGAATCTCAAATGACAAAGTTAAAAACAGTAAAAATAATCAGAAAACATTTGAAGCTTTGCATTAAGAAAAAAGCCTTTGGCTTTAAATGAAAATCTAAAAATAATTTATGTGACATACGTAATAATTTGCATAATTTCGTAAAAATTTAATAATCATATTTGTGAATTTTATTGATTTCCGAAGACTTGAATCTTTTTGAGCATCATGGTAAAATTTATTCACAACAGCTACGAACAATTCACCAGGAGATAATTCTGGAGTTGAAGATACATAGGCTAGACACTGAGAATAGAGATTGAGAAAAAAACAGCGAGATAGAAAGAGAGAGAAATAAAACTGATGTCCTGCATTAAAAAGTATCAATGGTATGTAATAAGGAGAAATCCACTTTATTGTTATTATAAAACGGTAATCTATTAAAACAATTATCTTATAATTGAATGAAGATAAATCGAGAACTGACTAGTGTAGAATCTATAACAACAACCCATTATGGACCAGAAAAAATATCTAATATAAGCAAAACGATACAATTTCATGCGACTCAAAAAACTGACTGAATTACAATTGTGATAAACATTTACAAACCCAAAATTAGCAAAGCCATTCAATATTCATTTATTGTTTGTTCCAATTAAAGTAACACTTATGTTTATAGATTAAGTTAAATATGTATTCACATTCGCTCAATAGTGAGTATTTTATCTCTTATATGTTATGTTTATTATCATTTTAGTAAAAATAAGTAATGGTAGTCATTGATAAAAAATAAGACCTAATTTGTTGCATTGGGCAAACAAATCTTTCTACTTGGCAAAACAATGATTATCCACAAAGTGATGTCGTGTATTTTCGAAGAACGCAACAATAACTCATATGTACACACTAACATCTATTGAGTTGCAAGGTATAAAGCTGATGGCGTCTACACAAACATGAAGAAATAGAGTAAAAGAATGATTGTTAATTAACTACTTCCATAGCATACCCCAAAGACACTGTCCTTGGATAAACTTTTGGAAATTCTAAGATATCAACTTCACAATTATTGAATAAGGAGAGTAAATTCAAAACATTTGTCTGCACATACTATAATGCCACTTATACCAATGCGCTAAGACAGCTATAGAAACGAATCAGGATGGAAGTTTCAAATCTTCGGAACGAGAGAATACATGAAGGAGACGTATAGAATTCAGATCAGACATAGATCCAAATAAATAATCGCTGTCCAAAAACTTAGTGGGCTTATTCCGTTAATGAAATAAGACATTAGATAAAATAGTAAAATCGTCATGTGTTAATATATATATATATATATATATATATATATATATATATATATATATATATAACATGTAGAACAAATACAACCATCATCAAAAGTACAAGTATTTATACGCAATTGTCTACACAAGATACTCCAAATCTGTTGGCCATACACCGTTACCAACAACCTACTGTGGCAGAAAGAAAACCAACTTCCAGCTGAACAGGAAATCAGGGAAAGACGTTGGAAGTGGACAGGACATACATTACGGAAATTATCAAACTGTATCACGAGGCAAGCACTAACTTGAAATCTTGGATATAAAAGGATAAGTGGAGGACTAAATAACATGTTGCGTCGAGAATCGGAAGCAGATATGAAGTGAATGAATAGCAGTCGAAAACAATTCGGAAGGAAAGGCGTAGGACAGAGTTGGTTGTTGAATCCTAGTAGGCAGTCTATTCTTCTAAAAGGGGTAACTAGTATGCATAAGTTATCAAGTAACGTGCACTTGGTTAATATGAAAATAGCAGTCATTCATAACCAATTGACCGAATGATTTATTCGTGCGTAATGCATTTATTGCATAAAAATGAATTCGTAATTTAAAAACATATAAAAGTAAATGAATATGATCAAATGAACAAGATATTTATCTGTATAGAAAATCCATATGGATCCAAAAAGAGATTCAGTCAATAACTCATGACTGATAAGCAAAGATCTAGGAATGAAGAGACACTTTATAACAGAGGAAGTAAAAAAAGTGAATCAAAAGAAAACTTTAATAAAACATCTATCCAGTGCTTTTGTGTACAACCTTTAACTTGAATAACCTTCAAAAGAATGCCATCCAAAAAGTAATTTACTCTTAACTGAACGTTGATAATGACAGAACGTAATGTGAGTAGTTAAACGCAACTGGGAGAACTGTCAAAGTATCTCTGGGAATAAGTAAGGACGAAAATAAGCAACAGAAAGAAGACAGTTTTAGAAACGCTTAGTGTAGATAAAGATTAGAACTTGTTAGTACTACTTCCAGTGAATGTCTCGTAATTATTTTCAAAGACAACTCTAAGCGACCTCAGTGTAACTAATAATTAGGCAACAAGCAAATTAACGTGACGTTTACTTCTAATATCATGAACGCCAGCCCTCTCTCTCTCTTTCTCCTGAGCTCTCAGGTTATTGTTTTCACCTGAATGTCTAGCGCGACTAAGTATATATCGACTGTTCCTAACTTTGAGATACAAATTGTTTCCAACAAAATGTTTTAAACACTATTTATTTAGGGGTTTAAGATAATATCGAAAGTTAGACTAACTCTAGCGAATAGCATTTCCTTATAGACCGACGTGGTTAACTGCCTTTTAATTACATTCAAGGAGAAAAGCGTTAGACTGATATAATAACCAACAGTAATAAACAACTTTGCAAACTGAATAAAAACGCTTAGAGATTATTGTAAAGAAATAGTAGTTCCAAACATGTCAAACTTGGATCAACGACCAATACTTACTGGATCGAAAAGAAATTCCAAGACAGAATATGAATCGACTGGCCAATTAGAATCCAAGGTACAGAGTTTACTTTGTTAAAATATAAAAGATTGATGAAAAAAGTAATCATAAAAAGTGATTTAACAATTTAAATTTGTATACTAATAAAAATTGTAATCATTATTCTAAAGAAAGAATTTCCTTTACCATTACATCAAAAACAAAGGAAACTAGTGGAAAGTCTCTAGGACACAAGTTACATATCAACTAAATAATCGTCTATAATTCTCCTACATATAATATAGTTATTTAGCTCATTTCAATAACAAATTAGTGACTTAAAGACATTCAAGATAAAAACTGAGTACTGAGAAGTTTTAATCAACCATAGAACGCACACTGCCGCAGCAAAGAATTAATTATTAAGGATGGTAGGGCATTATTATTTGAAATTAACCAGAAGAAAACACATTTATAAAATAATCAAAACTTTAGGATTAAGAAAATAAAATTCATCTATACATTGGATACTATGCGAATAAATTTGAGACATATTAACTAAGGTCCTTAACAAACAGTTACAACTTTCAGACCTGTGAAACCTACAATTACGCGTATGATATGAACGATTGGTCGTCGACTACGTAATTATTTGTGTTTAGTCAGAAATATTAGATATTCAGTTTGCACGACAATCTTCATAGAGTATCAAAAGTTTATTGTGCCTATATTACAACTCATTTCGGATAAACTGAATAGCACAAGTCTCTTTTCATCTTCCTAGGTCCAATTAATTCAAGAGAAATATTTGTGGGAAGATTTACTGATGGAGACAAAAGAACATTTTTCCAAGCAAGTGTCACTAACGTACACACATGTTTCCAGTGACCTTCCAAACAAGGTGAAACAAAAGCTGTATACTAAATGACCAACAAATTATTTGTAAACAAAGATGTTTTTAATAGCGATGAAAAGGAAACATCGCTCCAGTGAAGAACTTTGATGTGGATAAATTCAGTTACATAAATTCGAAGCTACAAAACATGTAGTATGGGAATTTCGACATCCTCAACAATTTAGCACAAATTTCTGAGGAGATAAAAGCTTATTGATTTTTTCCCTATATTGAAACTAGCATTACTAACTGCATGGCTTGAACCCCAAAAAAATAACTGTCAGGTACTCAGCACTAAATGACCTTAATCTTCTAATTTTACATATGTTCAACACTAATATTTAAAAAAAATCACACAGGAGAATAAGTTCTAATATTGACGATTTGTACACCTGAGTAGAAGTACAAAAGTCGACTGTAAAATAACAAGCCATTTTTAAATATCAAGGTCTAAATGGCATAGACCACCACATACTAAGACATATGCGGCTCTGCAAACCAATTATATAATAAAGGCAATCAACTATTAGAATCAAGAAAGGTCTATTCGAATTGTAATCTAATGTTTGTGTAATGCAAAACACATTTAAATACCTTGACTTCTCCAGTATATATATATATATATATATATATATATATATATATATATATATACCTAAGAACTTGGAGGAAAATATTTACATCCAACTAAAAATGGACAGTAAAAAGCAAACCAGTAATAGCTCTAGTTATTGTAGGCGGGTAAATTAGAACTAATAATTTTAGCTTATTGATCTGTCAGGCAGAAATTATCTAATAAACCTCTTAGATTGATTAAGTTGACTCCTGGATTATTTAACGTCAATTAATGAATTATTGTTGAATCGGAACCTTAGGTTGATAAAAATGAGCGCAATAGTTGTGTTAGAACTAAGTAATAATTTTTGGCAATCACAAGGCTAGTCTTATCTCCCGATATTTAACTTGGCTGTATGTTTTATTTTATAGAAGCAAATAACGTAGTTGGTTGGAATTCCTAGTTAGTTAAAAAACTGAAAATAAGAAACATCGCTGTAAAATTTATCTAAAATACATAATCCGCAGATCAACTTACTGACAGTTGAATATTTTATTTTAAAAATGGTTTTCTGTAAGAACTGTCAACGACTGCAAAACCTTTTGAAACTAATGAACATTTGAACAAAGTCTCATCCTATTATTAAAGCACCTCAGTGTAGTGGACTCACAACCTCCCAGGGACTACACCTAAGAACTTCTGTTCTCACCGTGAAAGAGAAAACATTGGGCTACTGAGCAGAAATCAGATGCTCAACACTTAAAAATTCAATCCATTTGTGAGGGAGAGTAGAGGACATCAAATGTGATTGCTAGCGGGTAGTAACTACTTCACTTTTAGTTTAAATCAATCTGTTACAACAGACTTCAAATCAAGCTAATCTCCCCACAAATTTTTCAAATAAACAAAATATTTTATATTTGGGGGGTTTAAAACCTTACAGCACTTCCGATCAAATGTTGAATAATGGGCGAAAAATTACATAACTATGAAACGTTTTTGAAAAAATACTCTAAAGAGCGGAGGATAAACGCTTATTTGGTCAGTAGTACTACTTCTAACAGGAAACCTTTGAGGTCTCTTTTGTTGTAAAATACTGGTCAGACGCATATATCATTGCTCTTCGTCTTAAATCCTATAAGCATTGTTGGTTTATTTTTCACTAGATCGAAAATAACATTTCCTTCATTGTAACTTACCAAAGAAGTGTATAGCAGTGGGAAGGAGTAGCGTTCTTTAAGAAGTTCAATATATATTCATTTTGACGGTGGTCTGCAAAGCAAGTATAGAGCAAACACAAGTCAATTTTAACAATCATTGATTTTTTTTTATATTGAATAAACAGTCAATTAGTTAGTCATAACCAACCTGATTGAAGAAGTGAAATGCTCTTTAAAAACAAAAACACATTGGATGGACAAGCATACAGTTGAGATGTTTAAGGCGTAAAACAAAACGAAAATACCATTTGAAAACAAGATACAACTTGAGAAATTAGATATCTTCAGTACGCAGTTTAAAAAAACAAGTGTACTTATAACAATTATAAAAAAATATTATTAAACAGGAGAATGAAAATACACTAGTTGTAGTTGATTTGCTTAGCAAACAATGGTAAAGATCACTATAAGAATTAATTAATTAATCACTTACAACCAATTAAATACTTTATGGTAACTACCGCTGGAAATCAAGATGTATGCTTTACTTTCTTAATAGCTAGTCAAATGGATATACACCTAAATCTCAATCAGTGATACATGAATTCAGTGTCTGAGCCTTAAACACTAGGATTTTTTTATTTATCAGGTAACCGATTTATCACACAAACCTATTGATAAACGGATATCAAATGTTTTAGGATTTTAAATTTTTATCGTGAATTTTTGAACAACTGAAGTTGTTTGTTTACGTTTAAATGGTTATTAAACACTTATTTTTGTTCAAACTTTTATTATACAGCACTCTAGAAGAAAACATGTAAGCTGTATATGAAGTTTTAGGTTGATGTGTAGATTGTTTGACTTTGCAAGATCGAAAATACTAAACATAAGAGAATAGATAATCAACTAATTACATTTTGTAAGGGCAACCAAATGCATGATTGATCAACCAAGCAAGTCTTTGAGTGACTTGAGAACATACCATTTATTGTATTTATCATTAAAAAGTTAATCTGTAGATGTATATGCAGAATAACTGACTTAGGAATTCAGAATCTGTCACAGTAATAGATCGACTGAAGCAGTTAACATTAACAGTTATATATATATATATATATATATATATATATATATATATTTCTTCCACTCCCCCCAAGATTCTACAACAGACTCCCACTTTTACTAAAGCAAAAGACGAAGACCGAAAACGTTGATGAAGATATACATAAAATATACATTCAAAGGTATAATGGATATATTTAAACAACTTATGTGGTTGACTTGCCTCTCTAATCGTATGTTAAACCATGGCAGTATAGCATATTCACTTCCATAAACGTACCTGGAATAGATAAAACTTCGGGGAGTAGTGAAGCATACAATTGATGAGAAATAAAAGGGTCAGGAGACAGTTCAAAAATAGACAACGTCAAGCTCCGTGAGGGCAGTTTTTGAAAATGCCGAACCTAAAATTGAAATGACAAAATATAGTGTTTATAATGCAAATGAAAAGTAGTTGAATAAAACAAAAGTCAAATACATAACTATACAAACAATAAAGTAAAACGTTATCCATTAAATACAGAAAACTAAAAAGCATGAATCTATAGACATATGTAGACTTGACCATGTCATGGGAACATAGAAATAGAACACAATGTTAATTTTATTTACAAGAAGCTACACGTATCACATTGTTTTCTCATAATAAAAGCATGACCGAAAGTGAATAAATGATCTGTTTTGGAATATTAGGAACACAGTTTTGTTTATTCGACCAACAAGACTCAAAACAGCTGTTTAGGTGTGATTGGGTTAAGCTATTTTCTGTATTATAACTAAATCCCAACTTTAACTAAATATGAGAATAATTAAGAACATACTAAATAACCGTTCACTTAATAATTAATCAATAATTTCATATGCTGAATGAAAAGCTGCTTAACGGTGATGAGCGTTAGCTTATAAGCCACAGTACTTGAGCTTCAAACATTAGGTAGTGAAGTCAAATATCCCTAAACCTACTATGAATTGAACAATTGCAGTAACATTAATCCTCATAACGTGACATGGCTGCACACCGAATATAAAAATCTGTGTTTAGTTTCTGTTAGTTAAAGGTTATTTTTTTAATGAAAAAGCTAAACTGTTTACAGACAAAAACTAGAATTTACTTAGATTTATTTTAACATATGAAAATAGCTTAAATGTTGAGTTTGCAATAGAAACGTGACTGAACAGTTTAACAACAAACTGTTGCAACTCATTACCTTTGAGTAATTCACAAGTTTATCTGTTATTCAGTCAGTCACTATCAGAACAGAGACTTGGCACGAGTATGTAAAGGTACAAGTCGCTACACCTTAAAGTTAGCAATAACCACAACAACATAGATTCAACTAGGTGAAAAGCATTGGATGTGAAGTAGTATCTTAAACAGTAGAAATGTAAATATGAGAAAAACAATTCAAAAGGCACGACACCAATTGAAACACAGTTAGGAATGATATTAATTCTAAAATTTAGAGAAAAAAGGAAAAATTAATGCAACCGTTCATTGTGACAGAATTTGCGCCATGTCACCCAATGCCTACAAATATTGGTTACAAGTACAGTTTCGATCCCAACCAGGATATCTGTACCCAACAACATTAATCAGGTCAATAATCAGTGGGTTCATGGATTAATCTCATGTCTTGATCTGTCAACCACTAATTTCCTTACACTGCAACACATCGAAATGGGTAGTGAATACGTATGGATAACTGTTTTTGAACTTTGAAATATTTCTCATCTTTTAGTGTAAAGTATATTTAATCTTTAAATGATTGCTAGAAATAATTTGTTAAAAATCTGAATCATTTATTATTATAACAATTACTGATTGATCAGTCCGATATTTAAAAGTAGTTATAAGAAAATATATGATATCTTTCCTAATACTGTAAAAACATATCTGTTACATGAAATGAACTTTATGAGTATTTCATAATGAAATCAAAATGTCATAATTTTGAATAACACCTATTTGAACTTGCATTGACGAGCTTAAACAGTTAAGCTATATACCATTTTCAGTATTCTAAAGTAATATTTATTATGCAAAACAGGAACTCATTACAGGACTTAAGTGATTTTGCAAACGAAGAATTGGAGATAAACAAAAAGCCACACCTTTCAACGGATACAGTATAGTAAGATATGAATCAGCTAGCTACTAAACTTTGATATACAATAACAGAAAAGATCTCAAGTAGCGAAGTTAAAAATAGTTTCAACATTTAGTTTCGCAGAGTGGTGTTTGTTTCTTCAGAAAATTAAACCGAAACCATAATTATCGACTAATTCATGCTCTGATAAATTTGATTTGTAATGATGGAGAAAATTTGTGTCCATTTCATAATCACAATCAAAATTATTCAATTATACTATCCAGTTCAAAAAATACAACACTACCAGTTAATCAGATCGTCTAATTTGTTGTCAAACATAGCCTAGAATCGTGAGGTAAGGTGGTGGTTGGAGGTGGTCAACAGGGTCCTGTTGACCACCTCCAACCACCATCTTACCTCAGTATATATAGTGCAAGCAGTGTCGAGCCACCTAGACTGGTGGCCACATTGCACCTCGATCGATAGCATTCGATCAGCACTAAGAAGGACCTGACATGCATGAGATTGATCACCATCCAGTGATCAATCAATTGTAATAGCCTAGAATCGTTTATGGCCAATGATTTCCAATAAACCAGATCTGCATACAAACATATACAATTTCGGTGAATTTCACGCTAAATAACTCATTTTCAGGTTTTTACAAGCTTCGAATTGAAGAAGCAACGAAGACGATTCAGCGAACACAATCTTTTTTCGATGAATTCTTTTTTGTATAAAATATGGCATCACTTAACACGCAATTGAAAGTCTTTTTCAAATATCAGTAAGTTACATATCAGTACAAGATGAAAGCAAATCATACATAACTTGAAAAATATTCAGAAATTGTGAGTGCAACATAGTCACAAATTACTTGAAAATACCAAATATAAAAACGAAGTTATCTAACGGTCCAATGACCAATGAGAAATGTGAAAAACATATTATACGGGAGAGAGATAATTGTTCATTTGATGAATACAAAGAACAGAATAATTACATGTCACAGCTAACTACTCTAGACTGACTGTATCAAGTAATCTAGCGGCAAGTTCGAGCTAGGGGGCTCTTCATCCGAAATTAGTCATCTAACGAGGATGTGGTTTACATGTAGCGTCAGCCATTTACTTCGAATATCAATTTTGTAGATCATGTCAACGACTCTTCTTCTGACGACACTCACAATCTAAGCAGGCCCCCGTTGTCGAAATTTTCTTACATTCACTGGTAACCCATTACGAAAAAGACGTTCAGTTCTCCGCGCGTTGAGTGTATAATTTTGTCTTCTTCTTTGTAAACACATGCTATCAAATGAAGTCCGAACTTTACTTCTGAAAATTGGCTCAGCAGGGCAGATGCCCTTGGGTGAGGCTGGATTCGGGGTTATTCCTGGTGATTTTCCCCGTCGACCTACTTCTGACTGGCTTAGCAAATCAGATTAAGTAGTATATCATAGTTAATTTATAATAAATGATGTTCATAGCAAAAATTTCTATTCCTTTTCATTAAACACCATGTAAACTTCATTATACAAAGAAACTTTAAAAAAGTAAACAATGGGAATATTTTTTATGTTATACATAGTTGAGAACTCAATAATTTTGCCATTGTTAAGAATTAATTCAAATAAGATATAAAAAAGAGTAACAGTGTTCACAAATTGATAGAATATATATGCATTATAAGATGTAAAAAACTTACGTAAGAAACGAAAAATGCAATCACGAATAAGTGGAGTAACCATGTACTCCCGTTAAGAGAACAGTGAGTTGAGTGTAAACATTTTTGCAGATTTCCAGCTATGCTAATCAAAACAGATTCATCCACATGACAAAATTTCTTCATCAGGTCTACTTGATACTAATTGAAAGAATGAAAAGAGAGATATGCTATGAGGAAGGAACGTATTGAATAATTAATGGCAAGGGTGGATTTCAAACAAATAAAAAGGCATTCATGTCGCTCATCAAATAAATCATGCTAGTATAGAAGAATACAGTAAACAATATGAGTAACCTGTGCAGTTAAGGAAAGTACTCGGAAAACTCACAAAATAATGATGTCAAACGTTTTTCAATCATTAATTGTATAAAGCAAGCAAATGCATCAAGAGCAATATGAAATGATCTCAAAAACAGAGCTGAAATCATTCACATTGATAAAAAGCGACTAAACCAATGACTACTTCAAAAATAATCAATCCGTAAATTACTTAGAAATTAAGATGTCTGTATAACTTCAATAATGTGACCACAAAATAAATGAGACTATATACAGTAAAAAACATTGTTTTAGCGCTGCTGTCATAAACAACATGGTAACTAGTATAAATGAACACTGGTTCAGCTTGGTACACTTTACATCAGGATACTGAAAGCCAGTTAATACGATGAGAACCAATTCAGTTGTAATAATAGCAGTCCCATTGATGGTGAAATCCTGACATTGAAATATCGTTTAAAAACAACTAAGGCAGTGGTACAGTAAAAATTATGGACGTCGAAATCCAAGATCGAGAATGAATGTAAATAAGCTACAGAACTCGATTTTGAGCAGCATCACTCGAGGTCTTCAAAAATTCATTACGATCATTGTGAAAAACAGAACTGGGAAGACCAACAATCGACAACTTGATGAATAGATGTAGCAGGCTGGTTCGGTCACCTCTGATGTTCTTCTAACCTAATTCTAAAGCCCAAACTTTGGTTTGGGCAACTTGGTAGTATCTTTGGTCGTCACAAAAACAGAATGGCTTAAAAAGCAGGAACACAAACGTGAAGCTGGTCAATAAGTTAAGTGATCTGTAAAAAGTTGGGTTATCAAAAAGTCACTGTTAGGAGAATATTTGTGAGAAATGTAAATAAAAGTAAGTATTGAACAACTCTGACAAGCGCTGCTACACAAAACCAATTTACATCACCATTAGCCGTAAAAAAACTAAAAAGGTCAGTAAAAGGATATATATGTATAACCGAAAAAAAAGTATTTTTAAATAACATTGCAAAAAGTACTCTTTTGATAAGTTCATATCAATAGCACGACGTAAAATTAATAACCAACGATGATTCGAAAAATCTATTAAAGTATGGAAGCTATAGTTACCTTGATATAATTTTGGTCAACATCCTGTGAAATGTAGAATAATCAAAAACAATAAGGAACTTTACCATTTACAACTACGAATTTCATAAGAAGGGTAATAATGATTTGATTTTATCCCAATAAAAATAAGGTATAACTTATAATTATCAATACCACATAAGAATATTTTTAAGCAATGAAATGTTATCGAATCATAAACTGACCTCCTGAAAATTAATAAACTCTGCATTAGAAATATCGGATTGCCAATTTGGTTGACATGTCGGATCAGAAATTAGGTCACTAAAAGCATTATTCAGTGTCTTGTAAATAGCCTATGGGAGAAACGAAAAATAGCAGAGTTGGCATTGATTCGATAAACAGTTCACGAATTTTCTAGCTTTATACTGAAAACTAACAATAAATTATCTCAAAAGAATGCCACACAACATTGATATATATACAATACAGTGAATAAATGTGGATAATAGAAGCTAAAACCAACCTCCTTATAAAAACAAATAATTTACCTCAGAGAGCTTAATACAGTCTTCATTATTTCTGTGTCCGGTAGATGTTTCAGAACCTAGTAGTGATAGAATAAGTGAAGTCATGAATAAGGGGCTGAAAAAAGTTGGCATCATTATTTGCATAAAAAAGTAAAAACTTGTATTTCAACGAGATCATAGCGACTTGCAACTACCTCTTCGATTAGTCTGTGTTGATACGCTTGAAATTTTTTTAAATCTGTGTACAATAGTACGATTTCCTACTAATTTCAAATGGTAGAGATTTTAAACCAAGACTATTTTGCCCTGCGTGGTTTCACTCACCTGAATACACATTCTGTATTGTCTTACAAAATGAACAAACGTTCCTAACACATGTGAAACTCATTCTATATTAAAGATTAGAGTTAAAGGTGAAATATTTTACGTCATTCAAACGAGGATTTTACAACAATCAGTTCAGAAATCTTTTCAATACAATGAATTTGACATAAAGGAAGTTCATTGTTTTTCATTTGTCTTACTATTTAGACAAAATTTATAATTTACGGGTAAAAAGAAATTTCCTCGGTAGATCCTACTTGAAGACCACACGATTGTTCATCATGGAGCAATGACTCAGTGACCAAGGGATTCGACTGTCGGCCACCTAGTCGAAGGTTTGGAAACCTGCTCCACCTATTTTTATTTGAGAAACCGAGTAGTATCATTGCCCCTTACATTCATAGTATGGCTTGAAACCATGTATATGGATTCGTATCAAATACGGGACTAAAAATACTGTGCAACAGAACGATTGTTTGAGAACACAAAATTGATATCTAATTTAACGCTTCACCTACATACTGACTAGTACCAGTACAGAATAACATAAAAGTTCAGTACCCCCAAATGCCCCGGTACGGCCGAGAGTGGGGAGAGTCCGCTCTCCCTCTCCAAATGCTCTCAAATGGTCACGCGTATATAGGCTCTACCAGGGAAGTCCTACTCACTGCCTTCTCGTGGCATTACCGTTGTTTACGAAAGTGAGAGGACGAAAAGCGATTATCCGGCGCTTTAACCGAGTTGGTAGATATGGACGATCCACCTAGGGGAGTTGGAAAACCCTGATTCCAAACCAATGGTGCACATGGGCTCCAGCATCCTGAAGGAACAAATGGCGTATGAACCAATCGTTGGTCACCGGCTACCATGGGACTGCGTCTCCTTACGATGCTCCATTGTCTTGTGGACTAGACCTTCAGGTCAAAGGCTCAGGGTGTGGCCCCCTAAGAAAACCACCTGCTTCAGTCTGGGCACCTGGGAAGTATCACAGCCCTCACACAAATCAAATTAGATTTGTGAGGCGCATATTTATCTGGTGCCTCTTTGTACCAATATTCATGTGTTTAAATAAATGAATAAATAAAAAGAAGTTCAGTTTTATCCAAAAATATTACATCTGGTACAAAATATCAGATAAAAACAGTTATGATAGGTAGTGACAGCAGTGGAAAAGTTAAAAGGACAAATGCAATAGGATTTAAAAGGTACCTTTTAGATACCAAATACGATGAATGAATTAAGTTGGGACTTTATTCAGAAAATTTCCTGCACCAAATTGAAATTTAAGATCACTGGCGAGTACTGTGAACAACTAAACAATAATGACATATGTACCATACATCTATTATTCGTAGTCACATTGAATCTGCAGGACATTAGTGCCCTTTCTCAAGGACATAATTAAACTTCGATTTAATGTGCCTCGAGCGTTTATCGTATTCTATCTGAACATTACGTAGTTATGTATCTAGAGTCGATAGTTTGGAAAGTTAGTGAACCGTGATTCACATTCTTCACTTATCTTAAATTTCAAACACACTTCGTTGCAAAGAGTTAATAACCTGCAATCGAAATGGAGAAATCATATTCGAGTATTCTTACTCTTGTTACACAGAGCCTTCTCAAAATGACACTTGTATCTATGTGAAGTGAAACAGGCTAGTCGTCAGTAGTTTCTGAAAAAAATAGACTGTAACAGTACAGATGACAGTTGAAGAGACACTTGTATTGTCTTTGAGTTATCTAACAATGAAAACGCTCTGGGCGTGATGACCACAAATTCCCAACTCCTACCAAAGTCTAGAAGGTTGGAAAGGTATATCACTTAAGTTTACAAGTATAGATATCTGTTTCTCACAATTATAAAGTTAGTTTGACCAAAATGATTCTGAAATCGCACGGGTAGTAGCTATCCGATATGAATATAGAGCTCAAAAATATTAGCCGTTCACTATGGTTTGTGCAAAAGATCAAAAAAAGAGGACGAGAACAAAGAATGATTAGTGTGGAAACGAAAGAACAATGAATTCTGAGACGATTGACTGATATTTGAAAAAAGGAACAGTCAAGTTTAAGAAAATCGATTGACACTTTTCAAATTGTGTATTTAGTGTATGGTTCTCAGATTTTACTAAGATGTTCTGTAATTTTGTATTCAAATACATTCGGTTGTCCCCACTTGTGTTCTCGTTCACTACCCACTAACCTGCATTATTTGTGAAACTACTGAAATACCTCAACACCAATAAGCAATCCGATTCTGCCAGTAGCTCTTCTAGAGTTACTGCCGGTCCCGAGCCCGGGTAAAGGAGGAGGGTTAGGCATGGGGTTAGCGACCCCATCCCGAAGAAAAACTAACTCGCTAAAAATTGCTAACCAGAAAAAATAATTCAAACCATTTAAACTCTGCCCTCCCAGTTGAAGGAAGAATTATGACGCCTCACTATGATAGCGGAGATTCTTCGGAAGTCACGAGGCCGATGTCCTTTCTAACAACCAGAGCAACAATTTTTATAGGTACATGGAACGTCCGGACAATGTGGGAGACCGGGAAGACCAGTCAAATAGCAATGGAAATGAGGAGATACTAATTGACAGTACTTGAAATCAGCGAAACCCATTAGACACAGACTGGACAGCAAAGGCTAGATACGGGAGAGATGCTGCTGTACTCCGGTCACGAAGAGGAAAATGCTCCACACGCTTAGGAAGTTGTTCTGATGCTGTCCAGAAAAGCAGAAAATGCACTTGTAGGATGGGAATCTCTTGGATTCAGGATAACCAAAGCATCATTCAAAACAAAGAAGGAGGGGACCACAACGAACGTTATCCAATGTTATGCACCCACCAATGATAGCAACGACGACGATAAAAATCAGTTCTATGAGAGGCTGCAATCAATCATAACTAAGTGCTCAAGAAAGGTCCTCACCATCCTGGTGGGAGATCTAGATGATAAAGTCGGATTGGACAACACAGGATATGAAGATATAATTGGACGACATGGACTGGGAGAGAGGTTTGCAAACCTATGTGTTATGAACAAATTGTTTATAGGCGGAACAATATGCCCCCATAAACGCATACACAAAGCTACGTGGATCTCACCGGACCACACCACAGAGAACCAGATAGATCATATTTGTATCAACAAAGGACAATGGAAAATGTGACAATCAGGAGAGTAGCTGACATGGCTTCAGATCACCATCTACCTGGTTGTTGCGAAGATGGAACTACAGCTAAATAAGTATTGGACAAATGGGCAAACAGAATTACAAAGATTAAATACAGCATTCCTTCGAGATACTCACAAACTCAAATAATTCAAGATAACTCAACAACAGGTCCCAAGCTTTACAGGATCTACTGAAAGAACAAGAAACTACAATGGAGGACAACTAGAAAGGGATCAAAGAAGCACTAACTTCAACGCATCAGGAGGTTCTGGTTCGCACGAAGCATCATAATGAGGAATGGATCTCTATGGAAACCCTGGACAAGATTCAGGAAAGAAAGAACAAGAAGACAGCAATTAGCAACAGCCGGACACGAACAGAGAAAGTGAAGGCACAAGCAGAGTACGCATCGTCGAACAATCAGTTGAATGGAACTCGTCATCACACATCAACTTCATTGACTATGAGAAGGCATTTGACAGTGTGGATCGGAGAACATTATGGAAATTTCTCCGACACTATCGAGTTCCTCAGAAGATTGTCAACATTATCCGGAACTCATACGACGAACTACACTGCAAAGTCGTGCATGGACAACTGACAGATGCGTTTCCAGTAAGGACCGGAGTCAGACAAGGCTGTCTACTTTCCCCCTTTCCGTTTCCTCTCGTGATTGACTAGATTATGAAGACTTCGACATCTGGGAGGAAATACGGAATACAATGAACTTCTCAGAACCAAATGAAAGACGACTTGAACTTCGCAGATGACCTAACCCTCGTATCTCATACACACGAACAAATGCAGACGAAGACAGCAAGTGTAGCAGTAGCCTCTGCATCGATAGGCTTCAACATACACAAAGGAAAAGCAAGATCCTTAATATACAGCACAGAGAACACCAACCCAATCACAATTGATGGCAAAACTCTGGAAGAGGTGGAAACATTCAAGTACCTGGGAAGCATCGTGGATAAACAAGGAGGATCGGATGCAGATTTAAAGGTGAGGATTGGCAAAGCAAGGGCAGCATTTCTACAATTGAAGAACATATGGAACTCAAAACAACTCTCAACCAATTTCAAGGTCAGAATCTTTAATACGAACGTCAAGACAGTCCTACTGTACGGAGCTGAAACGTGGAAAACTACTACATCCATTGTCAAGAAGGTACAAGTATTGATAAATAGTTGTTTACGCAAAATACTCAACATTCACTAGCCGGATACTATCAGCAACAGCGTTTTATGGGAGAGGACAAACCAACTTTCAGCTGATGAGGAAATTAAGAAAATACATTGGAAGTTGATAGGACATACATTAAGGAAATCACCAAACTGCATCACGAGGCAATACCTAACTTGGAATCCGGAAGGGAAGTGGAAAAGAGGAAGGCCGAAGAACGCATTACGCCGGGAAATAGAAGCAGATATGAAAAGGATGAATGTTAACTGGAAAGAACTGGAAATGATTGCCCAGGACAGCGTTGGATGGGAAATGTTGATGTGCGGCCTATACTTCACGACGGGTAACATGCGTAAGTAAGTAATAAGCAATCCACTTTTGTTGTATATATATGATAAGTGATCATTTAAAGCAACTCTGATCATGGAACATTTACCAAGTAAATGTTTATACATTCAGCTTTTAGTGAGACGAAATAAATTTATGTAGAAATACTTGATTAAGACATATGACGACAGAAACTAACTAAAAACCGAAAAGATCATTTGGATAACAATAATTCACAGAACAACATTTGGTTCGATGAATTAAATACTTCACGATCGGAAAATTTTGCCATCTGTGTATATTTCTAGAACGATAAATGAATTATTCGTTATACCACATATTACTTAGTGTTCAAATGATTAACTGTATGCGAACAAGCAACTTACATGATACTTGCTCATCTAAAATGACGCACCTCTGAGCAACTTCTGTAAAACGTGCCACACCATCTATAAATTAGGGAAGCCAATGCCGAATGTAGAATACTAAACAGAAATTTTAGTATCAAACGATTAGTTTTGAAATAATATGAAGAGAATGTTGGATTACAAATTTATTTATAATAACTTCCTTATTGAATGTTAGCTCTCATTCTTCTTTGCTCCGGGCCTCCAGAGCATACAATATATATTGAGTGGTCCCATTAAGCAGAAACAACTGGACTATAAAACTACCAGGAATGGATAGTGGCTAGCAGTAGAATCCAGGACGTGCGTCTCGTTCTATCCGGGACTAAAACCCAGTACCGTTCACTTCAAACGCTATCGCGTTATCCACTTGGCTACTGAGTTCTGTTAGCCACTTGCTTCTGCAATGGGGTGAAGTTTAGATTCACATGGTATTGTTTGCTTGAACCTTCCCATTGATGATTAGGACTGCGATTGATCAGTCTCTTATTGGCATATGTGCATACTGTGCGTATTGCCTCGACATTGCCTAATTCACAAGTATTATAAACAAAGATGGATAGTGTCTAGAAGTGAGATCCAGGACGCGCTTTTCGTCCTATTTATAGTAGCTAAGTAGTAGTAGTAGTAGTAGTAGTAGTAGTAGTAGTAGTAGTAGTAGCTCAGTAGCTAAGTGGATAACGCGATGGCGTTTGAAGTGAATGGTATTGGGTTCGAGTCCCAGATTGAACATCAACTTTGAGATGCATGCACATCCGGCTGACGAGTCTCAAATAGGACGAAACGCGCGTCCTGGATTCCACTGCTAGACACTATCCATCTTTGTTCATAATGCTTGTGAATTAAGGCAGTGTCAAGGCAATACGCACAGTATGCACTTATGCCAATAAGAGACTGATCAATCACAGCCCTAATCATCAATGGGAAGATCCAAGTGAACAATACCAAGTGAATTTATAAAACTACCAGTTTTTACCGAAGTTAAAACTATAATCGTTTATGCGTAAAGCTCCCTTACATTTATCTTAACATGAACCTGCCCATTTATTTGTGCCCGTAATAGCATGTGCTTCAGAAGAATAGAGAGAATACTATATAAAACAATCTCAGAACATGTCCCGAAAAACCTAATCTTGAATAGCCCTAAACTACCTAGCAGTGCTATCGGAAAACATGATGGACGTGGGTCATCCAGTAGACCATGGTACTACCTTTCGAGTAATAAACAGAAACAGTAACGACAGACTTCTACGTTACGCAGAAGAGGAGACTATCCGTTGACTAAAACCCTAATTATGTACATAAGAAGAACTTATGCCTCGCCTGGAGTTTCCAGGTTGATCAGTTCACTGATGTACTTCCCCTGCTTTATTTTTGGTTTTGTTTGCTTGACCTCATTTTCATTTAATCAAAACATTTCCATTGTTTATTTTAGTAGTTTTCACTTTTAACTTATGGTTATCATATCTAGACTTACTTTAACACCATATAATAAAATATTTAACGCTTATCAATTTAGATATCTGACTACTTCCATTTCCTTGTGCCCTCTTCATATATCATAATCATTATTATCGTAATTATTTCACTATCGTGTTTAAGGTACTTACTGTCACTCTCCTCATTTTGTCTACTGTAGTCATAATTATTTGCACATGTTTCTTAGATCGGATTATGTCGTGGTCTCTTTCTCTCGTTTGATTCTTCCACCTATTTGCTGAACTTGTATAAATATATGGGAAGTATTGACAATTATTTCTCTTCAGTAGTAAAGAATTTTTTACATATTACATATAAAATTACAGTTGCAAGACATCCCGTTTATTTGATCAAATTAATGAATATGCACAGTGTTCGTTATTCTTGTTTTACAAAAGTTTATCGAGGGAAATAATTGCGTAAAAATCATGAAAAATAAAGATATTATACAGTAGATCAAGACTAAGTGGAGATGCACTTAAGACAAGTAACTCCGACACAAATAAAAAAACACCGGCCACATATCTCAGGCCTTGTGATCTAATTAAGAACAATTGCTTTTTTCAAGGTTATAAAGACAAATCGACTGTTTGTTTTTGCTCGGATGTAACAATATTCATGCTTCCAACCATGGAAAAGGAATCAAGTAGTGTTTTTACTTATTGCTTCATTTCCATATGCAATCCCAATATACAGAATCGATTGTTTACGACACTACTTTAGGTCCAAAGCTTATGGTTCATAAAATGAATCAGTAGGTAACTTTGAAAACAAAATCCATGTGTCTGAACATAGAACTAACCTGAAAGCCAGGGATGCCCAGCAGAACTCGGTATGCAGGAACTGACGCTCTGTGAATCAAATATAAATTAATTGGCGATATTAAGGAACTATATTAGATATAGTACTATCAAAGCTAATGTAAAATGAACAAGTATGTGATGAGATATTTGTAAGATTACAATAAAATTGAATTTGCTTGGTCAGAATTACTGCTATGAAGCAAGAAACTGAACACAGAAAGTAGAAAGCGTACAAGACCTACTTTTCATATTTCGTATATGTTATTTTAAGATTGTTACAGAGCTTAAAAGCTTTATGTTCACTATCAAGATTAATCGCGGATTATTCACATCAACAGACAGCTACAACGTAGAACCAGTCGCATATATGCATTGGACGAAGTTGCCATACCTCATTAGCACAACTGGATGAATACCAAATTCATAGAAGCAGTTACTTCCGTGATAGTAAAAAGATTTCATAAAAGGATATGATACAAGGAGAAAGAATTCGTTCGAAGAAAGAAAGGTGTGAAGTAATTTTAATCTCATGGTTTAAGAGAAGATAAAGAGTGAATACACCTACGCCATTGTGATCGATTCTGAGCCATGCCACCCAGAGTCTCCAACCATTGGTTACGATAGTCATGCGGACCTTAACCAAGTAGTCTGCATCTACCAACAGGACTCAGACTAGGAGTTAGTGACTTCAGGGACTGATGCCACTTCTTGGTTTGACCGCCCCAACTTTCTTCCGTCCGTTCCCAACACTAGTCAACATTGCGCACCCAGGTAGTCGGTGGTTGGGCATGAGTAATACGTGATCCAACCATTTCAGTCGAAAAAAATTCACAGCCTCATCAACTGATTTATCATCATTCTCTAACACCCTCCGTCTAACCTCACTATTACTTACCCAGTGATCCCAGCAGATGCGAGCAATATTTCTAAAAAATCTGTATCTTCTACCCTTAAAGGTCGCGTTTTGTAGCCGTAAATTAAAACAGAACAAGCTGCTGAGCAGTATACTCTTCATTTAATTGATAGATGGATATCTCGTTTTCACCATAGGTGATGTGAGTTGGCGAAAGCTGAACGAGCTTTTTGAATCCGTGTAGAGATTTCGCCAGACACCAACCCATTAGGACTGATCAGACTTCTAAGACAGGTGTTGTCGACACATTCGACTATTTCACCCCCTGCCCTTAATTCAGGTGTTAACGCAGGCCATTTCTGAAGCAACAATTTGCATTTTGAGGTGGAGAAACTCATCCCAAACATCCTGGTATTGTTGCTCAGTGCTACCAAAAGACTTTACATTCTATCAGCGTCTTCGCCAAACAGGACTATGTCATCTGCGTATTCTACGTCGACAAGCAGACCTCGCGGTAGGAGATCAACTCGCGAAAATTCAAACGATGGGAACGTTATTTCCAGCGATTTGTCTATGATAAAACTGAGTAAAAATGGAGATAGTGAACAGTCTTGCCGGATACCAGTTGAGGTTACAAAATCGGATGACAGTTCGGCATACGCTCTGACTCAACTGGTAGTGTTCGAGTTAAGAGCCTTCAGAAGGTTTACGTACTTCTGAGGTACGTCTTTTGATGACAGATAATGCACAGAACCTCTCAGTCTACAGAGTCAAATGCTGCTTTCAAGTCAAGAAAGACCACCATTGTCGGAAGCCCCTAAGCATGCCCGTGGTCTAAAATATGACAAATGAATATATAGTCGATGCAGTCACGACCAGGTCTGAAACCAGCCTGATTTTCTCGTGTTTGCAGTTGACGAGTCGTTTTTAGGCGTCTGATAATTATTGAGGCTAGTATTTTAGATACTATATTAGTTAAACTAATCCATCTGTGGTTATCATCATCATCCTTTCTTATATATTGGGACGATCAGTGACTGTGATCAGTCGGATGGGATTACATCCAATTACCAGATTTTAGCTATAATATTAGTTAACCTATCCGCTAAAACTGGACCACCATCGTTAAAAGGCTCTCGAGTTAATCCATCTACACTACCTTGTTTCAGATTAGTTATTACTTTTTGAGCTTCAATTAGAGTCGGGAAGCCTATTTCAATGTTCTATTCAGGCTGTTTGGAAACGGTGGGTAGCTGTAGAGTACCTTAAGGCCAGCTGAACTGCTCTTCAAGGTGTTGCGCTTATCGTTCTAAACGTCTGAACTGAGGGCATATAAGAGAACCGTCTTTTCCCGAGATTGTTTCACTTACACTTAACTTTTTAATTCCGGTTTCGTTTATTAGTCTGGAAAGCTGTTTTGCGTTACCTACAGCCACTACCTTTTCCATCTCTTTTGCTTTCTATTATGACGCTCGGTTTTCCACATCTATATTAATGGGACGTTAACTTGCCTTAGACGAATATCTACACTAGATCCCCTTCCAGTGTTTTTTCTATATAACTTCAACACAACTCAGATCAAGGACACGTGATTAGCCTGACTGGAACGTAAATATATTTCCACACCAAAAACCGACAACAATCACAATAATAATAAGGATAGGAGAATATATAATTCATCAGACGCCTGTCAGACTATCTACAAGTCTGATTAAGCAAACAACCAATCATTATCATCCTCACCCACACATCACTTTCGTTGCCCACAACTGCTCACGGTCGTTCCGTAGACTTTTGGTCAACCTAGATCTGATTTGCTTTCGCCTGTGGTTGTGTACGAAGCCTGGTGGGATAGGTTTACGAGTCTATCAGTGCAAAAGATGTCGCAGATATCCACTGGTTTTCTGTAACCATTTGGTTCGAATCACCAACAAATAATGCTGGTTGTATGTCTTTTTAAGCAATATCTGCGTCAGTCCTGTTTTCAGAACTGCCTAAGTGTGACTTCAATTGTTTCTGGAATCTACTTTCGGCCTTCTCGTCGCTGAGTTCAACTCTAATGTATCTTCTTAATGTAGCTTTTCAGGTTCCAGGCAAGCAAATGAGTGCTCTTATTAGAGAGTATGCAGAGTCTAAACATGTACTCCAGAACGAGCGGCACTCTTCCATCGAGCCTCTCCAACGATGACTGATGGTAATATGGTCTATTTGAGTTCATCGTTGGTTTGCTTCAGGGGTCACCATTTTAGACTATGTCCCTCCTTATGCTTAAAAATAGTGCTCGTTAAAACATGAGCGATTGTCTATTCACAGTTGCAGCAGACGATCATTATTATCCGTTCGCTGAGCCGGAATACCAAAATACTCACCCAAACGTCCATATTTTTGGTTCAAGCTACGTAACTGGGCATTAAAATCACCTGCTACGAGTACTATGTCTGAGTGTTTAGCTTTCTGAAGAAGTTCAGAAAGCTCTCTGTAAAATTCACTTTTCAATTCATCTGGGCTGTAGACAATGAGAGCATAGGTAGGAATGACGAGTGTCCCTATCCTTTCGAGTTTTTACGGAGCTGTTTAGCCGAACAGCACAAAGGTAACTGTTAGTAGGGGTCTATTCTAAAAGTGCTTTTACTGCCCTCATATTTAATTCTATGCCTACACCTGCCAGTCCACGAGAACTTGTCGTCGGGTCGTCAGATAAACTGAGGGTATATCTCGTCGGTTCCCCGTTTTGGCTAGGTGATTTCAAGTGAACGACCACACTAGGATCCTGTATGCGTGTTCCGGAGACACAGGATACATCAATGGTACGAGATTTACGGCTCTTAGCCAAGGAGGCCTGCTGACCAATGACATAGGGTATGTATGTTGAGGGCTCTAATGTGTAGTATGGAGTGAGCAATAGAATAGTTCTGGGTGACACTTGGAGGAAGTTTAAGGTTGGTATCCGATGTAGGAGGAACAATAGGAATTAAAAAGGGAAATTGATTATGAGTACAGCGGTCGTAAATGCTGTTCAAGGTATGAGAACGGTTTTCACTTTCCAGTTATCTACACCATAGAAGGGTTCTTCTAGAGGTGCCTGAAAAGGAAGCTGAAATAGTGATGGTCTTAGTGACCTGAGAGCATGACTGCAGTGCCCAAGGGACAACTGCTCGAAGTCGGTCACACGCGACCTTTTCTGTGTAATTTTTGTGTTCGCTCTGTACTTTTTGAGACCTTACCGACGGAGATGGATATACGTCGAACAAGACAAGGTATGCAATTTTAGGGTCAGGCTTTTCTAACCCATCCTTTGTGGGAAGGCAGCATCACTGTTATTCTGGCCGTCTGAGGGAAGCACCTTAATATCGTCACACCTTTGTACAGTCAGCAGTAAGACCTCGCCCTCGGACCTCGGGCTTGTTGCATTAAGTTTTATCGTTCTTCAACCGACCTACCTGGCAAAGTAATACCTTCGGAAACGATTGTTCCAGCCAGTATAACCCGACTGGTTCATTACGATAGGTAAGCCCGACCATCGCATCAACATAAACAGGAAAACACGATATGATTCATTATGAGAACGTAAACATATTTATCAGTGACTACTTCGCCAAATAAAATTTATCTATTCAAAATCCAGCTTAGTAGCAGCAAGATGCTAGTTAACAACACTGTTTGCGTAACAAGCACTATAAAAATGTCCTTTCCAGGAATTTCATCTAGCCAACGCACACTAAGTAAAAGAGGTAGAAGACATGAAGACATTGTCACTGTTGTGTAAATTAAAGTCAAGCTACCGTGAATTCATCTAACAACAACAGTTCATACGTTTTTCGTCTATTATTAATAGCGAGATGCGAAGATTAAGTATGGCTACGAACGACCGAGAAGTTAATACTTATATTGCAAATAATAAAACATGCAATTGAAGCATTGGTAATGCTAAACTTTTTTATTCATATCGCATTTGTAGTCATAAGTTTTTACTTCAGAAGTAACTCGTTATTGATAAAATAATTGCTGATAAAAAAAATATCAACTGCCGGAAACTGATTTTGGTGACATTTTTTCAGTCTGAAAAGACACCAGTTACTTTGTTTGCATAAAGCAGCAAAAATTATCTTAAAATATTGCGAAGCCAGGTGCAAGAAATGTATTGTAGAGCACATGGATCCATAATTAAAGCCTACGACATGTAACCTGATTTACATAAAAAAGCAATACAACCAGCGGTATGACAGTTGCATAAATCTAGAGATGAAAAACGTTTCGAAACAGGTTTGAAACAGGTAAATTGAAACTGACACCACGTATGGGATAGGACTGTGATAAAACTTGGAATACTATAGTTTTAGTGTCTTGATTTGTTGACATTCCTTACTTCTTAAATGGCCGCTTTAAGATCTGACACTCACTGCAGTACAAGATTCCGAGTTTCACAAGTGTAATTTAGCGTTAAGTTGTTGCGAAAATCCTCTTTGAAAATCTAGTGTTTAAACACTGGAGTTTCAAAGAGGATTTTATTAATTTTTGAAATGTTCACATTAGTAATTACTAATGTGAACGTTTAAAACATAAAAAAGTGAGAAATAATATTCTGTGGCTATGAAAGTTGCATTTATAGTTATGTAGAAGCATAAATTACCTTTGGCATATTAGTTTAGACAGACATGGAATATATATTTCACGACACTTGACGAGTTTGAATGGCGACGACTAGTGTAAACAAGATCCAAATACAGGTCAACACGAAAGAACAGTCAATATGATTTATATCCTAAAACTTAACAGAGTAATGCGTAGTACATAAACGTACCAACCCCAACCAAACGCACACGGAAAGAGGTATTGTTGCTCCTCAAGGTCACATATACGACTTATTCAATGATGGCGGTATTCCATAGTCACCATGGCCTCGACATATTATTTATTATGCAGTTGACAACAGATATCATACATGATGAAACGTGATTTGTTTCTAAAGACACCCTTCCATCAAGTAAAGAGATTCTGCATCGCAACGGTAATTACACCACATGATTTCGTGCATATCATGTTTATTATATTCTCACTAGTTCAAACATATCACTAATTCATTTCGTTTATAAATTACACGTAAGACATTAGTATTATGGACGCATTTTTATGACTTTACCCTTACCTAATACAATAAACTGTAGTGACTTCTATATCAGCTTGCTCTTAATAAGTAAATTGCTGTAAACCAGTCTGCTTACAAATAGAAAAAAAGACTTTAGATGCTGCTGATAACATATATTTTAAAGAAGTGCTCATTTTGGAGCAAAAGCGTTAAGTCTTTGTTGTGCGTTTGTAGAGTGCACAACTGTACAACCATATTTCAAGATCACTGCTATTAAACAATATCGACAGCTGGATAATCAAGTATGCTTAGGATTTACTATAAACTGCATACAATCTAACAGTTATCCTAGAATATATTGGAAGTCTTTACGCCGCAACAGAATCTATCCTAATGCAAAAACTCTTGAAAGACATGCATCGAATCAAATCGATACATTAAAATTGAAAATCTATGACTTGGAAAGGAATCTCCTTCAGAGACAAGATTCCGTTGAAAACCTACCGTCTGAGCTTCAGTCAATGTTCATGGATTACGTTGAAAAAATTGCCAAGAATAGATCGGACAAGACGATGACAAAACTGGTGAAAACTTTGGAAAACAAAAAACCAGATAAGGAATTTCCTTTCGACCCGAAACGGTACGTACACAATTTTTCCAATATCGAACTAGATGTAATACAGCTAGAAGCATTATCTTTGGGGCCTAAGTTCTGTGATAGTAGACATAAAATCAACCCATTAGATATTGATGTACAGTTTGAGAATCTATTTTCACAAACAAGTGACTTGATTCCCACCTCATCAGAGGACCTAGTCAGGTTTAAGACCACTTTAGTTGACAGCAGGCAACAATATAAGAATAGTAAAAGCACTACTAACCGCCTACTTACCAAGCAGCACCGAGACTGTTTAACTAAACTAAGAAAGGAGGAAACCTTGATTATAAGTAAACCTGATAAAGGAGGAGGCATAGTGCTGATGAATAAAAAGGACTACGTTGAAAAGATGGAAACAATGCTTAATGATCCCAGCAAATTTCAAAAAGTCACCAGTCATTCCGATATCAATAAAAAAGTGGAAAACCAGTTGACTAACTCTCTTAAGGATTTAAAGAATAAGGGAATAATTACAAAAGAGATTCTTGATTCTATCAAACCCTCTGGATCTTATACGCCACGACTGTATGGTTTACCCAAAGTTCATAAACCAGGTCTTCCACTGCGCCCAGTCCTAGATATGTTCAATTCCCCTTATCACAAAATTGCAAAATGGCTAGTACGTATCTTAGAGCCCTTGCACAAATCAATTGTTAGTACGAGCGTAAAAGATGTATTCGACTTCACTTCCAAAGTGGAAAATATGAATGTTAGTATGAAAAATATGTTCTCACTAGATGTAGTATCCTTGTTTACTAACGTACCACTTATGGAGACTATTGAGTTCATATGCGAGCAAATAACTGAAAAGCAAATCAACATTGGCCTGCCGGAAGATTGTCTGAAAGAACTGCTTTTAAGATGTACACTGAATGTTCATTTCGTTTTCAACAATTCCTATTATAGACAAATAGACGGAATAGCCATGGGCTCACCTCTAGGCCCGATTCTTGCTGATCTCTTCTTAGCTAAGCTAGAAAATGGCCCACTTAAGGAGGCTATTAAGAAGCTCGATCTATACTGCCGCTACATCGACGATACATTCATAGTCGTGGATCAGAACACCAGTAAGGATGAACTACTTGAACAGTTCAACAGTGTACATCCAGCGATTAGCTTCACTGGTGAAGGCGAGTGTGACATGAAGCTGAATTTCCTTGACGTTACACTAAGCAGGCGAAGTGATGGCTCGTTAAGTAGAAGCGTGTATAGAAAAAGCCCCTCTACCTGCCAATACACTCACTTCTATAGCTTTACACCTATCCAATATAAGAGAAACTTGGTTAAATGCCTCACTAGTAGAGCAAATAAGATCTGTTCTGTTGATACTTTAAGTCAGGAACTGGAATTTATCTATAACTCACTGACTGAGATCGGCTACCCTGCTGCGTTCATCAAAAAGTACATGTATGATACAAGGAAGAAATCAGAGATTTTAACTGTTCGTAAGAAGCCTCTATACATGAAATTACCATTCAACGGGGATGTAGCTAGTGAAACTCTGAAAGATAGGTTGACAAAAGTAATTAGTAGAACTTTCTACGCAGCCTATCTTGCATTGACTTTCTCGAGTCGACCAGTGATGTCTACTCAAACGAAGGATAAGTTACCTGAGTTGGCCTCCTCCATGTGCATTTATAAGTTCAGCTGCTCCTGTGGAGATAGCTATATCGGGCGTACTACTAGGCAACTTAACCAACGAATGAGTGAACATCTACCAGCATGGTTTGGAAAGGGCCAAATAAAAACAATACGCAGTTCTATCTTGGCACATCTAATTGATAGTGGACATATTGTCGATAAATTGAAATCATTTCAAGTGATCTATCGTATACCTCCATCGTTTCCCAACGGAGTTCGCTCCCGTCTACTTCATATAGCAGAAGCCATAGGGATTCGTACATTCCATCCCAATTTATGTGTACAGAAGAAATTCGTAACCCCCCTATCCCTTTCATGGCCGGACATAACTTAATAATTGACATTATTATTATTTGTAAAAATTTTTATTTTGGTTATCATTTTTTGTTTGTTTGTAATTTTCTACCTCTTTCCGTTTGTATTCTTCACTATCTATTTACTTACATACTTCTTATTACGTAATGATTTTAATGTTTTGTGATTACTATTCCAGACTATTTACCCACGTTTGACCTCTTAATTCTTATGTTTAATTATTGATAAGACTTTTGTTATCATAATTTACTATTCTTACTACTATCAGTACACCTGTCTTCCCACTATCAACTTGTACTTTTAACTATTATTATGCTTGGTAACGTATTTCTATTTCATTGTGATTATTATTGACTCAAATAGCCTTGATTGGTCTAACATTTTCATATAAATATTCATGTATATTAGAGTAAAGCCTGATGACGATCTAATTGAAAACAATTGTTCGCTTACATATGTTGTTCTAATCAAGTATGTGTTCTTACTTCCCTAGAAAAAAGCGGTATACAGTTCTGAAAGAGGAGTATTCTGAATCCTAACTAAATACAGCTGGCAGTGAATTAACATTAAAAAAATCTCTTTAACAATTGGAAATATCAGTTTATCAGACATCCAATTTCTTCGTATATCTTCCCGTAAAACGAGACGCGAATGCATCAAAATATATAAGTGGGAACAAAAGGATAAAAGCTGTAAAATTTGGTATTATGCACATAATACGCTTTGCGCATGCTGTAACAGAATAACTAATTGTTAACTACTTTTGATGAACATGTTAGCAGATCAGAGCTATATAAATTCTTCTCCGTTTAAAAACATGTATGTTGTCTATTGACTTATTCCATATTTTTGACTAAAACCAATACTATTTGTTCATTGAGAATATGACATTAGTGAGTCATCACAGATTTCCTTACAAACTGTTTCGTCATCAGAATGAGGGTACTATGGAGCAATCTACGGAGGGCAGTACTGATAAAACCTTCTACAAAGGAATGTGTAATGCGTACAACTCATCTAATGATGCCCCAAAGTACCCTGGTACTGACGAGAGTTAGGAGAGCCAGATCTCCATTTCCAAATGCCCTCACATGGCTACGTGCATACAACCACTGCCGCGGAAGTCCTACTCACTGTTCTCTCGCGGCATCACTGCTGTTTACGAACTTGATAGGACGGAAAAGGAAGGTCCGGTGCTTTAACCGGGTTAGTGAATATAGAGGATCCACCTTGATTATTTATCACTTATTTATCATTTAAGCACATAAATATTGGTACAACGAGGCACCAGATATATATATGCACCAAACTGTGAATTAAAACGTAAGTTCAGTGGCTCCAGGTTTTTCCCTTTGAGAAAACCACCTACTTCGGTTTGGGCACTTGGGCAGTATATATAAAATTAAAAAACGGAGATCGTTCGTTTTCCTTTTTCTCAATAACATCATAAATGACAGTTAGGAAAGAACATGCGAACAGTAAGAGAATCCCAGGTGGCAACAACATCTGTTTCAGTTGAAAAAAAGCTAACTCTGGTTTCCAATATCTACAAAATGATACTCAGGACGTAACGCATTAATATTTTGTCCTAAAACAGCGAGCTTGCATGAAGGAATACAGTGCTTTAAGTAGCAGCAGCTAAATACGAGTAAGCAGAACGGATTCAAAATAATTAACACCAACAATTGGAGTATTATTTTAACAGCTGAATTCGCAAGTCCACTGAAGCTAGACCACAACTGAAAACCTGAAAACAGTGAACAGCGGTATTGTCCAAGATCTAGCACGCAGGACTGGGACTCACCACCCTTGGATTCGCGCAAGATTTTCTGACCTCTAGACCACTGAGCCAACACCCAACGGTGTCAATGTCTAACTTCCATCATTCCATGAATGCATGTGAAATTACTCACCCATTGTCTGAGTTAGATATCTGTCTCTACCCGACACGGAATCGACTCCACTCGTCACTGCACAAACAGTGAAATTTTAGTACAAAAAACACTAAATGATGCAGCTACGACAAAATAACAGCGGAAAAACGTACAGAATGAGGAAAGCCGGTCATCATTGCTTGCAATGATGGTGGCAAAGACAGATCCCAATTCATTTTGATGCAGATGGATATATTGAAGTTGAATGGAATAAGTTTAAGGCTACATTCGAATCCATAACATCGCCGTTTATCCCTTGATCAACACGTCGGCT